AAAGCCATAAATTAGAAGTCTACTCTGCCACACCCCATGGTGTATCAAAACATCTTAGGTTTAAATTGAGCCTTACAAAAGCCATGTTTCCACACCACTTAGGTTGACCTAACTCAGGAACACATATCTCAGCAGGCAAACTGTTGGCATACAGATCACAAACAAACACAATGCAATTTCTATCTGCAGTGGTGGTAGGTAAACCTAATCATAATTAGACATATAACAGTTTAACATTAATAGGTGGCAGCATGTGGAACAACAGAGTGATAAGTCCTATGGTGATCTAATCATAATTGGACATATTACACAGTTTAACATTATGATGGCTGTAGGTGTGACAACAGAGTGATTAGAATGGTTTCATTTGATGAACTTATCACATTCAAATGACCTGATTTATTGGGTCACTCAAAGTCAGGTGGCTTTAGGTGGACTTGGAACACGCCTCAAGTCATACAGTTTTGGAGTCCCCAGGGCCCACTATACCGAGCAACAGTCAGGGACCTGAAAAGGGCAGTTAGTAAAAGTCTAAATCAGGTTTCACTATGATAAAAATAGCTCCAAAATGCTACACAAGAGGGACTTTGTGCATGCTGATAGTGCAGTTTCTGCATTGGCATGCAAGGCCTTTTTCAGCAGTTTCTGCACCATGTAAGACGTGGCATGAAATTCTGAACTAAGGCTGCCTAGCCTATAACTTCTCCATAACAACTACTTATCAATTTTTGATTTATTAAGCACGGCCAGTAAATAAAATATTTAACTTCTGATACTGATCAGCATACAAAACTGATAAGACACAAGCATCCATTACCTGCACTAAGACATAATGTGCCACGCCCTTATATAATTTTTTTTTTCTTTTTTGGTCTCTACGAGGTCTGTTGCTCTAGTGAGAATAAAAGTGGTCAGATGTATTGTAACCATGTGTAAGTGTTGAGGGGATGTTAGGGTGGGTCTGTTAAAGGCTTTCAACTTATTGATTCCTGTGTTTTAAATTTTTTTTTCGTTTCAATAAAATATTTGAACAAAATATATACCTACATATGTTGAAAAGTATGTTGATGTTGACCCAACTTTTTAATCATTTCTCCATGTCTCCAGCACAGCAACCCTACATTTAACAGGAGCACATACATGTGATAAATAGTAAATTCTATTCATCACTCCCATCTTTTCAATAAATAAAAAGTAGGATGTATGTTATCCAAGGCTAAGCTAGGCTAGATAACCACAAATGTATCCAAGCTACCATATTATATAGCATATATATAAATTATATTACACACACACACACCTATACTCAAGGACCTATATTTACACAGGCAAGGTGGATACATATAGATAGCAGTTCTATATATGCTGTATGCCACACCTTGTCATATAGAGTTTGTATCTTCCATCTTGAACTCTAGTGGATCTGTGGATTTGGATGAAAATTATAGCAGGCCTAAATCTTTCTTCGAATATTAAATGCCACTTCTCATCAGGGAGGGGGTGGGGGTGACAGTTCAGGCTAACTATTTATTGGAATCTTATTTTTTGATTTATTCCAAGTATCATCAACAATCTTTGTAATACATATAACTAAAATAATTTTATTAGAGAAATACTTGTATTGATCTTTTAAAAGACACATGATGTTTGATATGGGTAGACTAAGATAGCAAAATTCAGGTTTGAATGTTCTCACGTTTGTATTTTATCTACTCAATGTTACTAGTATATATCTTTGGTCATATTTGCATTAGTGTTTGTACAGTTTCATGTAATTTTACTGGGTACACTTTATCTCCACAAACCCACTGATAAAGATGCATGTTACGGTGGAAATGCATGTGCACGTTCACACACACACACAAACAAACATACATGTGCACATATTTAAACACGTGCTCACACACGTACACACACACACATCCACACTCAAACACCCACATCCAACAAGGCAAGCTGTGATGTCCCAAAGTGAGTTCTCTCTATTGATTCCCTGACATGGTTTATTAGTCCCCATGACCGGTTTATTGGCAAGATAAGACTCACTGGTCGCACAGTCGATATGTCTAGGACAACTACCCCAGCGATGACCTAGTTACTCCACAGGGGATCAGATGGATTTCAAACTTGACCCAACCCTTGAAAAGTGATACTGTACATGTACACAGTTAATACTGTTCCCATTCAGCCACTATATCCAATGGAATGGTTCGAAGTTAGTATCATTCCTAACCTCTCCATATATACGATACTGGAATAGCCAAATTATGTTGGAAGTCCTGGCGTTTTTTCTTACATACAAGTCAGGCAATGTTATCAAACAAACAATCTCCCAATAACTGACATCACTCATATTCTAGCATGTTTATGTGCATATGCATATGTATGTGTGTGTATGTTTGTGTGTTTATGTGTCTGTGTAGATATGTAGAAATTTAACTCTCTCCCCCCCCCCCCTCCATACCTTTGTTGTATATTTTCTTTCCAATATTTTTTACTACACCAAAAGATGGATAAGGGAAAGAGTTCTTGTAACTACTTTCTTTTATAGGATAAAACTACGGGTATGTGCTTCCTACTCAAACACTAAAATTCATCAATTAAAGAATAATTGTGTATAATAATAAGATATCTTGTTAGGAAAAACCATTTCCCTATTCTTAATTTACACCGTCTCCCTGTAAATAAGAGTGGCTCTTCGCAAATCTTCAACAAAATTATTTGCAACTGGCATTCCATAATTACCAATTTTATTCATTTCTGAATACGATCCAACCTTACTGCTGGTTGCCGTGGCGACTCCCTATCACCACAAGAAATAGAGTAATAATCAAACAGTGCAAACTGGCTTTTCCTGTTGTAAATTGAAAGGACGCAGATGCAAATAGCCTTCATTAGTGTTTTTTCACTGCTCTAATGATGGTGTGTCCTTGTAACACAAAAGGATTTGTAATTTTGCTACAATCATGTGATTACAGTAACATACAGTGGGGGTCGTACAGAAGTTTTAAATGTTAAAGGTCAATTGTTGCCACATAATTCTACATGTCAAATATTATTTAGATAATACTGTCACTGTGAGCTGTTTCTTTTCAATTCATTGTCACAATGAGTATTATCATTTTTGTAATATATATTTGTTCCATTTTTTGCGTTCTTTGGGACAACCACATATTCAACAGAATATGACAATATATTACGGAACTGAAACAATGTGGTTAGATTCATTTAAAGGTGTTTTAAAAATCCAATCTTTAGATGGAATGGAATATTTCAATATACCTAGCAATCTGAACATTACAGTTTTTTTGAAACATTTTAATAATCAATCTAAAAAAACTTCCACTTCAATCTAAAATAAAAACTTACACATAATACTCTCATAACCTGACCTGTGCAGGCAATGGACCACAGTCTAATAAACTTTTAAAAGTACTTAATGTGCACTTCACTGTGGCTACGCTAGGATGAACAGACTTCAAACTGGTAAGAAAATGTGATATATCACATCATTGTCGTTCATGTGACAAGCTTTTGGTTCTAAACCCTAGGACTACAACCTGGTGAAAAAGGCTGATGGAGACTTCCCATTATATGAAGGAGAAGCCATAGCCACTTGAGGCCAAGTTGTAAGGGTCGTATTGACACAGGTCAAATTCTGCACGATGTCGACTCACTGATACAATACTGTGAACATGTACAAATCTTCATTAAAAAACCATCTCCGTAATCTCTTCTAACTATTATTTAGCCATTTATTCACTTAAGCAAGGAACTGTTTTTAACAGTTTCTAGTCTTGGGGCTGTTTATCACTTCTAGCAAAAAGATTAGTGCCCATATTCTACTGTGGAGTAATACTCACGACTATAATAAGTTATGAATACTTAAAAAATGTTTGGCCTAAATGTGTTGCAATGCAGGTATAACTCCACACACTGAATTAAACATAATGAATTAAACATAATGAATTTAATTAAATATTTAAATACTTTCAGAGCACTACAACAGATTGAGAGGTCACTACATAGCCTTATAATAATGATATTAATTTTTGATCTTAAATTTTTGAAAGCAATTTATCAAAGGATAACTGAAGGATAAGTGAAAGATAATCTAGTGAAACATAACATCTCGGCCATGTTGATACTAGGTTATATCTTTTTCTAAATGAATTTCATTCACAATAGTTTATTGTCCTGTACATTCTAGGTGATAGTGACAACTCTCCACCACCTGCTATATGCTGGTAGTATAAAGTTTGATTACCAGCATGATGCTGGCTTAAACAATTACTGTTTCCACATTTATGCCTTTGTTCCTGTTCATTTACCTCTCAACCTCCCAGTATAATAAAAGATGCCTGCTTCATGGTGGCTTCCAGCAAAGTTTCTCTTTTAACTCAATAAAAAATATAACGTATTGCTATTGCCCTATGTGAACAGAGAGCACACCTTAGTTGACAAAGTAGAGCTTTGGCACAGTTTCACATAGGTTGATAAACACTCAAGTACATTATACAGAATATCACGTCATAAATGCCATTCATACTTGGAAGCCATGGACGTATTGTTAAGAGAAAGGAGTCAACAGTTTTTATTTAAAATCTGTTACTAATTAAACCTGTCTTACTTCCTGTTTCCTATAAGTTATAAATATAAAACTATGTTCTTGTCACTAGCCCAGCAGAACACTATACAGCATAACAAGAATTAGAATGACTCCGATTTAAGTAAATAGCACAGTTTGCATAAATACATTATTCCATTTCACTCTATATAGCTACTATACAGTGCAGGTCAAAGCGGTGCATTCATCAAAGCCATACAAAACCCACATTTTCGACCCTTATTCTCCTTTTTAGCCAACATAAACGCCGTGTTTTTGTCCTGAAATAGAACAATACCCGGGATTCCCCCTCTGTCTCTGAGAACCCCCTTTCAATGGGCTCAGCCACGCGTGAACCTCACAATGCAAACCTTCGGTTCTTTTGAAATCTCACCTTGATTTTTCGCTCACTTCTCGAGGGATTCCCGTCGTTTCATTTACTGCAAAAGAAAAGAGATATACCATCACGTAACCAGGTCATTGTATTCGGCGGGGATTAACGGCACGAATATGACTTGGGGCGTTCAACGGCAGATGGGGAAGGCGTTAACCACAGAGCAGGGACGTGGTTTGGGGGGGGGGGGTTAAAATCGACATATCACACACGCACGCGCATACACAATGGATTTGTTTACATTTCAGACTACGTCAATAGGGAGACCCCAGCACGTGAGTCATCGACTAGAAGGGAAATCTACGTGAACTTACCTGCGTTGCAATCGGCGATCGGCACGGTATCGTTGGGGTTGGGTGAAACCTCTGTGCTCGTTTCTTCCAGCTGCGATTCGCTGCGAGCAGCCGCCATGTTGTGATGACTTCACCACACCCCACATCCGGGCCTCCGAACGAAGACACACCCACCAGTGCTGCATGTTTATCACGCAGCTCATCAACTGGCACTGCAAATAATTTATTGGGTCAAGCTAATAAAAACTCAGAAAGCCAATTACCATATAAATTCACCAGGCGAAGATATTTGGAGCTTTTTGTGGCTCCGTAGCAACGCGGGCGGGGAAGGGGCGAGCCCGTTTTAACGCTGAAACTACCACGTTGCTATCTATATGGGACTGAACGCAGTCGAGCGCGGTGTGCCGGTGAAACATCTGTGGAAATAAATTATCATAATTATATCGGCGTCCCGTGCAAAAATTCATTGAACAAACTACAAAGAAAGGGTGGATGCATGGGTGGGACAGGGCTTGCCACAGAATTTAAGACATTGCTTATTTAATTCTAGAGATGGATATAGGATAAAATTGGAGTCGCATGGAACGCAGAGGGCTTGCTATTAATTTTAAATTAGATCCATCCAATCAGTTGAAAGATATCTTTTCTTTATTAATATATTATTTTCAGATGGAAGTCTACACAAATAATTTAGAATGAAGTAATTTCAAACAGATAGCTTCAATATGCATGTTTAAGCTTCAACTTCAAAGAGGAGATATAGGCCTAACCACGAAAGACGCGTGCTCACTGTGGCCAAAATTTTAATAAGGACTACATCATAAATAAATATCTGTCAAAGTGTAGCCCTCCTATTGTAGATAAGGCATAAAAAACTTTGACATATTTGATGGAAGAGATTTCATGTAAGCCCATTGTAGGGCCTATATGATTAGGCCTACCATTAACACATAGGCCTACAAATCAGCTGACGAAGAAAACCCGTCGCTGATTTGAACAGCTACTTCATACGTAAGCATTTTTCAGCCACCCTGGGTTTTCAGATACTGGAAGCGAGTCATGCTGTTATTGAAAAGACGCTCAACCTTCCGCGCTGTCCTTACAAACGCAGGGTGACACAATTCCTACTTGAGATATGTCATTTGTTAATATTTGTTACAAGAGAACAACAAATATTCTACCAACTGAAACAAGATAATCCTCAAGCCCTTTACACATAGATAATATTTGTTTACGTTTTAAATGTCACATTCAAAATGGTGATCATTCTTCCGTTATTATTTAAAGTTCGAACTAATGTGGATTTTTCTTCTATACCACCAGCATTAAGTGTTTTTTGAAAAGCGTGCCTTTTCACGGGAGTAAATGCAATTGCGAAAGTTTCATTTTAGCGTTCCTCAAAAAATTCGGAGAAAAAAGACTAATTTAGCAGAATCATGTATGTTTCCTCCCTGATAAGTGGCCATCCTTTTTGCCAAGGAAAGCATTAATATATTTAGATGTATAGACAAACCCAGCATAGAAACGCGACGGTTATTCTGTTCCCCCTTCTGAAATATTTGTCTGTGTATAGCCCCACCTTTACATGAACCCACTGGCTCACCAATGTGAATTGTAAAATTGTAAACCGACATATTTTTCTTCGCCTTTTTTTCCTCATTGCACCATCTGTCGATTGGAATGCGGGTTTCTTATTTACAGGAATAAATACAGTCGTAAAGCACGGTGTCTCATTTCTAGAATAGTTGAATTGATTGACAACCGGAGGAGATTTTGTTGATACTTTTAGGCACGGTTAAGTGGAAACGTGATCGCTGCTGCTGATTTTGTTGATCTAGAAGAGTACCTAAAATTCGGCTGTGAGGATCTGCGAACTTGCTTCACTCACCCCTTAAATCATGCAAATATAACGATTATAATAATAATAATGAATAATTTAATGAATTAATTAAGTTTTCGATTGACAAATAAATAGATAAAATATTAGATAAGCTTATTAGTTAAAAGAACAGAATTAGCATTTGGACAAATTTTTTCTTACAATTCGTGGGTTAAAAATACCAATTTCTAAACACCTGGGCAAAGTTGCTGGGTGCCAGGAGAAAATGTGCAATTTGAGCTTATCTGTTAACTACATTCTTAACGTTATTCTTACTGCTTTCTGCACCCTATGTTCCATATTATTATTATTATTATTATTATTATTATTATTATTATTATTATTAGAAGCACCCGGATTTCTCTTTTTATAAAACTAATCATCACACACCGCGCTTGCCACGACAATGAAAAAAATTGTCTAACTTGAAAAAAATATGAGACACCTTTTTATATTTACTTGAACGTGTCATCAGGTGGCGGGGATACAAATTATTTCTTAAATTGGTACGATAAGGCTCCCAGGTAACGCTACGGATGAGATCATTTTAAAGATAAGAGACGTCAGCAGCAGCGACCCGTTTAACCAGTTAAATGAATCCACCGCCCAGACTTTCTCCCCACGGCTATACAATACAATGATAATAACGGGAAATCTAGTACACATAACTTATGCCCTATTTAGCAACGAGTTACCGTAATGTTTCTTTTCATTAGCCTTCATGTTTGCTACAAAATTCCCCTGTCAAATATACATAACGTAAGTCATATAGGTGTGCCTATGGTAGTCTTTCAATATTGCCACGTTTATGGTGTATATTTGTCCTACTTGTGTGTATACATGACGTGCCTGGGGAGGGGAGGGAGGGGGGGAGGGGGGGAGGGGGGATGACCCTCTACCAGGACCGCAGATGAATTTTGTGCATTTTTTTCCAACGCGGGAAATGTGCCATGAATTAGCTAGAGACATAAATGTGGATATCTAGTGAAATATCAATCTGTGGCTCTGGTAGAGGGTAGAGGGGAGCTTATGGGTTTGGCAGGTTCCTTTTCTCCACCGTGTCAGTCATGGAGACAGGAGGGGAGGGGGAGGCACGGGGACGCCAAGTCGCTGTTTTTTATTTTTCTTTGTAAATGGCAACAACCCACCCGGATCAACACCGGTTCAAAATTATAAATTTGAAATGTCAGGCGTCCTGGCAAATTGTATGATGATACAGTAAGATACGGGTATGTTGAAATTAACGGCAGCACAGCGCCCCACCCATTTACTTGTATTTGAAATCAAGTTTTGACTATACTGTGCACGGGCTCTCTATGTTGAGAATCTCCACCGGCGATTATTGCGACGGCGTGGGCCAGCACAACTGATGCAATCCAGAGAGATCTTTCTACTAGTGAAAAAAATACCAAAGCTTGTAAAAGGAAGATGTATTTGATGATAGCAAGGAAAGAGCCGTGCGCTGCATATTAAGCTGGCTTGTGTAATATTTGACAACAGGTAGAAATGAGGAGGGCGTTTCTTTTAAAAAAATTGACGGTATCACACTGTGCCGATGTGAGAGTGTGACAGGTTTGGCAGTCCGCTAGAATCGTAGTACGGTTCCCATTATTTTGTACAGGTGATAGTCAACCAATATTCTAACCCAAAATACTAAACCTAACCTTTACTAAACATAAGGGACCCCGGACTTCCATTCCTAGCACTTGGTACCATTCCTGTCACACTTGGGTTTACATAATTTCTCGTTTTAGTAATGGCGTTCATTTGGATTTCACCCAAAACAAATGTAGATCTTTTAACATCGTTTAACGCGTGTTGGGTTTTCATCAAAAAGATTAAAATAAGATTAGTAAAACAGCCAAGTCGCCCCTATTTGTTTCAAGACTTTTCAAGACTCCTTTTTCAGACAGATAGAGTGGAATTGCTGCAAGGTTCTATTCACATCGAGACAGAGGTACATTGAACTGGACCGGTCCACTTTGAGAAGTAGCCTGGGTAATATTACGCAAGGGAGTCTCCTAAACGTCTCCCCTTCCTACCCCACCACCCACCCCCACCCCCCACATCCTCCGCACTCGACGTGATAATTAATAATTCAGCAGCCAACATGTGGTGAACTACTGTAGCGTGAAATGTGCCGCTAGTCGCGAAAAACGACCTCCAAAGCTTGCGTGTTCAGTTATATTTGTGTGTATTTTACTCACATTTGACTTAAGGATGACATGCTGCTATTCATGACATGGTGCACAATCTCAGTATCTTATATATGTATACGCGCATGCCTCTACTCTTTTTTTTTTTTTTTTTTTTTTTTTTTTTTGTGTGTGTGTGTGTGTGTGTGTGTGTGCTTGTGTTTCATTGGCATCCATACAAAGCCTTTAATTTTTGTTACACTTTAATATTATTTTTTATTTATTTATTTTTTATTGTAGTTGTTGTTAAAACCCGGCAGTTAAATAATATACACGCTGACACCTTGGTTTTAATAGTTTTTTATTTCTTCCTATTAATTGAGCACAGCCATATTCATTACAACATTCACTGGCCTCGCGTATTGTAAAATAAAAAGATGACAAGATTTAGATTCACCGACCTGTGTGGTACAATAATATGGTACGATATGTGGTACAGTGTATAGAACCCAGCATCTGAAGGTATCTTGCTTCCTTTATATTCACTCGATTCTCTTGTGTTTGTAACGCCAATGATGGTCCGTGTATGAAGGGCGAAGAACGCAAAAATGCTTTTTCCTTTTAAACGACAAAATAATTAAAAGTATATTGGCCAAATTTTGCTCAAATATTTTATCATTTTCTCTTACGATCTGAAAGACTTCGACACGGACCGTCATATAATACACAAGACCAGCAATGGGTGGACGCACTGATAACACTGGCACTCTGGTTTTGACCAAAAGTTCCTTAATTTGTGTGATTTTGACATTTACCAACATCAAATATATCAATTAGCATAAAATGAAGTAATCTTATTGATTTGATTATAAGTAGTATATCTGAAAAGAAGATGCTTATGAAAGACCATTTATATCACAATTACAAATAGATTAATTCACTGATATAAAAATATTAATAAAAGAGCATATACACGTATTTCTTTGTGGTGCTTAATTGTCTTTAATGTTTCAGGTGACCTTTGCAGGATTTTCGCGCCAAATCCAGTTGTCCTAGAGAAAAAAATCCCCTATTCACATATAACTGCTTGACCTGTCCCTGACTTCGGGACATCTTAAAACACGTATAGCAAACTATTAATCTACTTTTTGGAATGTTTTCTATGACATCCTATTTATATAGTGAATGCATAAAATTCATTGACTATGATATTTTATAATTTGACTATGATAGTATAAATCAATGATGTATAAAAGTATTAGAAAAGTATATACACTGTCGCTTCCAAGTTGTACTAATAATGCTTCATGGTTCCCAATTTACCTGCTCGAGCTCCAGACTGACAGGTATACAATGTGCGACAAAACTTTATATGGCTGAAAATCTGGATATGACAGCAGTTGTCTATTATCAACGCGGTATACCTACCAACCTAACTATAACAGAAACCACTACCTACATGGTATACATATAATTTTGTGCTGTACAAATTAACAAATGGAAAACAAAACAAAGAACCTAAATGACAACATTGTTAAGTCTATATATATATATATATATATATATATATATATATATATATATATATATATATATATATATATATATATATATATATATGGAATATCTTGGCCTATAATTTGTTAAAAGAATCTGGCTCGTAAGCACGATTCTCAAAGTCCTGCATGTCATCTCTCTTGTCTTGGGGCCGTAACTGGTGCTCTTTGAGGTCCTCGGGTTCTATAAGACGGTGACAGGCCTAGGGGTAGAAATAATAATAATAATAATAATAATAATAATAAATTCAATAACATTAACAGGAACGGAGCGTGTTGGTTAAAATAAAGGTGATTGTTTAATAAGGGAAACAGTGCCAAATACTGTATATTCCTAACTATTTTGAATGTTCCTTCATTGAAAAAATTCGATATCAGTATCAGTGCGTTTTGACGTACCCTTCTGCAGTTTGCATATTGGAAGGCTTTGTAAACGGCCACCAGAGGGATCCATATCGCTGAGCAACAAGCCAAGGCCCATCCGATACCTACGGCCCAGTCTGGGTATATGTACTTGCCTGCAGGGCGGTCATAGGTCAACTCAGAGTAGTTGATGGCGCTCATTATAAACACGGCCTGAAACCACGTGGTAGAAATCAAAACTTAAAGTATACAATTTATTTATTTGTTAATGTACAGAATAAAAACAAATTATGAAAACAGAAAAAAACGTTACACTAGGGCCCCTGATCTGTGTAGACTGTTTGAAGTACGCAATCTATGATAAGATATTACTTAATCGGGGTTTTTGTAAGTAACCAGAATAAGAAAATAACACAGACCCACGCTTTAGGGAAAAAAACATTCTCTATTTCAATATTTTTGCAGTTCTTGTAGAAATGTTTGAATGCGCTTTTCACTGAATCAAAAAGGTACAAAATTACGACGTATAAAATAGTTTTGAGTCCAAAGTTTTTAAGTTTGACCCACTCTCGAAACGGCAAAAACTCAACAGTTTTGGCTAAAATATACTTCTGTAATTTAGAGTAAACGGTTAAAATTACATTTTTTACTCTATAAAAATCTGTCGAGAGTAGCAGAGGTGATCAATAGTCAACTTACAATGCAAAATATGGGCGATACTACCAACCAACACCACTTCATGTAAGGATTGGGCCGGAACCCTAGCATCATCTGAAGATTGTCGTAGAAGCGGTTTATCCCTAAAGAAAGATGTTTGGAATTAATGAAATTGAGCAATATCACGCATAAAACAGTTTTTTATTTTGCTTAGAGACTACATAACATCAGTTAAACGTCTCCGCCCGCCACCTATGGACGTTGGTGACGTAAATGGGGATTTTGTATATACTTTTCATCTTTATATACTGGTGCATTAGAATAAATATTTATAAATAGATAAACAGAATAAGTGAACGCTACCGTAAAGATAGGCTACCGCAATACACTCGAAGAACGCCACGAACAAAATAATTCTGCTCCCGGTGTAGTAATCAAACAGCTGGAATACATACATTCCTCCCTGAAATGAAAAGTTACTGATTTTAAAATCTTATTTTCCGGGAAAGACCGATAAAAAGGTAGTAACCATAAAGAAAAACCAGTCGGGCTGGAATGCAAATGGTTTTGTTAGTTTTTCACATACTGGTATCTTAACGGTTTCCAGAATGAAGGCCAGATAACTGAGGTATGTATGCGGGACTGATCCTTAGTTTTAATAGATCAAAAAGATAAACGCAGTTTGTTTCCATACTAAACTAATCACGAACTTTAAAAATAGAAAAATGTTATCTTCCGATAAAATATGATGATTATTGTCTAAAATGTTTAAAACTCTGAAAAAAGGGAAAGCTCAGTTAAGTATAGAAGGTGGCTGATACAGCCAAGACGGCTTGGAGAATTGAGATTTTTACAAAAAATGTCTATCATAATATATTTACATTTGTCACCATGCTTAAGCCGACTAGGAACATAATGAAGCACATGATGCCAATGAAGATCTCTCTCCTGTAGCCACGGCGTAGAGTGCTGGCAAACTCGTCCACAAACGCCGCTATCAGGCCTTCCACGCCCACAAACTGTAAGGTAAACCGCGCGTAAAATTTAATCAGCCAATATAAATCAACCTGAATTTCAGAGTTTATCAAAGGATGCCAAAAGAGTATTTGACAATTCTGCTATTGGAAACCGCTGAGGCAATAGAAAATGGTTTCTAGTAAACCCCGAACACTCGGAGTGAGATAAATGAATGTCTCATTTTGGCACTGACCAGATGCGATTTCTATATAACAAGTGAAGTGTTATTTATTTACTTAATCATATATTATGACCCACTGTACCTCACATAGTATTTCTAATAATATAATCCCCCCCTTTGGGAGAGCGAGCTTTCGTGTTTCGTTTCTTTATTTTATAAGTATATGGAGGTCATGCGATTGTTTACAATCATTCACATTTAGCCATAGATCACATACATATTGTAAAAAACGTTTGATGGTTTAAATTTGTATATAACGTCCCGAGAAAATGGTCAACAACGAACTTATCAGGTTTGATATTTAAACAATTAAAGTGACCGTATACAGTCCAGCTCCTCATGTCCTATACCCACCTGGCTGTCCAGTCCCAACAGGATGACCATGATAAAGAAGAACACTGACCACAGGGGAGCCACCGGCATTTCAGCCAGTGCTGTGGGGTAGGCAATGAAGGCCAAACCCGGACCTGGAAGACAACGTAATCCATACTGATCCACTCGGAAAATAACACAGAGGGTAATGGCATATATATAGGGTGGATAAAAACAACGCCCCGAACTTGAATTTAGCACTTCTCGAAGGCTTACAATGATGGTAGTTTGCGCTACTTAAGGTGTTAACACTGGCACGTAAAAGATTGAAAGTCGAAGGCTTTTGTAACATCCAAGCAGTGATTAATATTCTGAAATCACAGCTGGAATATTGTCTACCTGACTCGGCCACCTCGCTCACTGGTATGCCTTGTTTGTACGACATATAGCCCAAGGTACTGAAGATGACAAAGCCGGCAAAGATACTGGTTCCACTGTTCACTGAGGCAAAGATGATGCAGTCCCTAAGAGCAAATATCAGTAAGTAAAAGTTTATTTATTATAATAGCTTATTCATTCATTAATACCAGGTTCATTGGGCCTATGTCACAGCTACTGTACTGTAATTTGCTTATTTCCTTATAAAACAACCAAAGAAAAAATACACCCATTTTTCTCACAATGAAATAAATGAGAAAGCGGGATTATTCTGAATACATTTATCATGGGTCTTTGATATGATTTATTAAGTTTTTAATTTTTTTATCTTTTCATTGCGGTATTTTGGTACATGCACACTTTCTTTGGTTTTAAAGATTTACTGGTCCAGGGTTAACACATGTTTTCTATGTTGCTGATTGCACAGAAAAGGAAATAAATTTACCTGTAAGAGTTTCTGTGGAAGTCGTTGTAACTGCCCAGTGCTGTCAGAACACCCAGAGCGATGGAGTAGGAGAAGAATATCTGTGTTCCCGCATCCACCCATACCTGAAAGTGACATTGCTCCAATCAGTGGTACTTTTATTGAATGAGTAAAGCTTTTGTTAGCCAATACTTAAACACACATCACGAGAATTTCATCTTACAGTGACCTTTTATATCCTTTTTTTATCATCTTTTTTTACCAACTCGTGTGAACACACTGTAGTTTTTGTCCCCTGTTTGGGAGAGGGACAGGGTCTCCTTTTCTTCAAAAAGGGATAAAGTCTCTGCCAGCCCCTTGGTCAACATATTCTATATACAGTATTGTATTACCTGTATGTTGGCAAGTTTAGCGAAGTCCGGCTTGAGATAGTAAATGATGCCATCCACGGCGCCAGGCAAGGTACACCCACGGACCAGCAAGATCGTCATAAAGATGTATGGTGACGTGGCTGTGACGTACATAACCTATATATAAACAAATGAATGAATTTTACATATCAGCTGTTTATATCTTGTCATTGCAAACCTACGTGCGTTATATGAACTTTCGACTTTTTGTTCTTTAACAGTACGTATGAAGCTAAATATTCTTAACGTGGCTTAGTTAAGTCTTTTAACGGTCCCAAACCTGGCTTTATTGTCGTACCAAACAACTGGACTGTTGGTTCGTTTATTTATCTATTTATTTATTTATTGCCTTCACTGTCACCATACCTTTCCTGATGTACGAATTCCCTTACAGATACAGACATAGACCACTATCCAGGCCAACAACAAACACAGCGCCAAATCCCACTTAATGGTTCCCATGTCGTCAATACCACTGGAGATTCCGAGCACACGGTGTCTGAATGAAGAGGCAAAATGTCATTATGGTTCCAGTAAAGATGGCTAAAGATTAGTCATCCAGTAGAACTAGAATCAGGTATATGTATCAATAGGTATCAATCGATGTTAAACGTAAGTTTCAGAATTCGATTGGTACATATTACTGAATCCAGTTAAGAATTCCATAAGAAGCGGGCGGAGTTTCAAACACAAAACTATTTATTGCTTACTCAGTCTATTGTATATTAACAGGACACCAATAAACACAAGACTTAAAATGTGGTGTTTGTTAAAAAAACCTGCCAGTGCTTACTCCCAGTATTCCGTGACGGAATCTATGGACAGGTCTTTGGTCACGTTGGTCATGTTGCCTAGTGACATATTAACTGGGGCCTGGGTTGTTATGGCAATCATCTCTGTGACATTAGCTGTCGTCCCGTTCCCTTTTGGACTAAAACTGAAGGTGGCGGAGCACCTGGAAAGAGTAGGGTAGACTTCAAGAGAATGTTTTACGTTGTTTAAGTGTTTAAGTTACGTTGCTGGGAATCGGTATCATATGAATGAATTACTTATCATTTCATCTAGTGTTGTCGATGTTAGGTTCAGGTTTTTCCTCAGATATATTAAATCAAAGATCTAGAAAACGTATTGTAGATAGATTTTACATTCACACTGAAATATCAACGCAGAAAACGTCTCTGAACTGCCAAGGAAAATATCGATACTATTATCTTTCTATTCATTTGCAGTGTAAACGGACTGGTTGAATAATAGTTCCGTTCTTTTAAAAACATCAAATTACTTTCGTAGTTCCAATAGACCAGATACAATACAATGCATCCATTTTTTAAAAAATCCAATTCAGACTTCTCGCAGTATAATAATGTTGTTCAGTGAACGTCAAAGCTTTCAGCCAACTGTCAAATATAATTGTATATCATGCTATATCTCAGTATATATGCAATGTGAAATATCATTTTATATTATGCTAAATCTTACTGACTTGTCCGTATTCCACCAGTTCCCGCACGTGACCCAAGGAAGCTCGGACGTGAAAGAAGCAAACAGGTAGTAGAATGCCCAGGCCAGGATGACGTTATAATAACAGTCCAGGAAGAACACGATCACAGTAGTGGCCCAGCCAATTCCTGGATTTAAACATTTAAATTAGTCTCATTGAATTTGAAATTGTAGGCCTATGGGTTGTGGGTAAAGTATATGCGTTTTGAGGATTATAGAGTCTTGAGAAATATCTGTCCTGAAACGAATCATAGATAATCAGAATGCGTATGGTAACTAACCAGCTGATATTTTACAGAAAACGCCATAACAATGCTATCAATAATGAGTTATGGAAAATATTTCAAAAAGTATACTGGGATATGATATACAGACATTTTTTCTAAGAAATAACTCTATACTTGATATCTATAGGACGTCGCTTTAATCATCAGTAGAAATGATATGTTCCTCTATATTTAGTGACACAGGGTCCTGTACACGGTTTCAGCTCAGCTTACCCATGAAGAGGGGGCAGATCTTCCAGGCTCTCAGACCGCTCTCTGTCATAAACTGCCCCACGGCCACCTCCAGGTAGAACAAAGGCACCGCCCCTGTCACCACCCCCACCAGGTAGGGGATCAGGAACGCCCCTGAAATATGGCCAGCCAGAGTTCTCAGTGGTATGGTATCTTTATAATTTTATGACCTTCTCCCTTTTTACATGTACTATATATACCACATATAATGTTTATAGCATTTTGTATTAGATATTAAGATATTTGTGCTATATACATGTCTATATGATAAACTTAAGGGTCAAATGAGAGTTTACGTGTATAAACTAAGTACAGATCCGACTGTACGGAGTATATCTTGCTCAGACTACTTTGAAAATGGGGTAGAAGAAAGTTTGCAATATTTTCTTTTTACCCATATTTGGACAAGGATGATGGTATACAAAAGATAAAGATGACTTTTTTATGTATTTATTGAGAGAGAGAGAGAGAGAGAGAGAGAGAGAGATCCATGTATAATCAGATATATTTCCATTTTAGCGGTGATTTAAGCTAAAAGTTGTACGATGTTCTTGGTTTGGAAAATTCAAGTTTGCAAATGCATGCAAAGAGAAATATTGCACAACAAAAGCTCGCATACTTTATAAATGTGCATTTATAAATTCTTTTCGTGTGATAAACATGGAAAAAAGACGATTACATATATAGTGAACTATGTCACCGTGGCAATACCAGTATGGGACCTATGCCTACAGATTTCACAAGTTACATAAGCATATCGGACAATTTGCCACTTATTTTGTCAGAGTATCAGTCAAAAACGTCCAGCAGCAGTCGTGAGCTTGGGAATGTCTTTTGTGTTGGAAATAGTCAACGAGAGCTATGACATGGCTGCTGAGCAGGGTTTAACATGCCCTCTCCAGGCATCTATTTGTCGCCAAGCTGAATTTGTCAGAAATTCTACTGCCGAAAAATAACATCAAGTTTCGACTTTGCCTAGGCTGATATAAAACTTGATATTACAAAGATAGGCGATATAAGTATTAGTTGTTTTCCACTCTACGGCATTAAACAAATATCCGCTTCCTACCGTTGCAAACACTCCCAAAAGGAGTATTTTTAGTCTTCTTAATGTTAAATTTTTAGTATCAACTTCGTAGTGCTTGTTTTGGGACGTTTTATTGGTGCTTTTGTGTCATTTAAGTTCCTTTCGTCTATGGGAGAATTAACTTATCTTTTATACGCAGCAACAGGTGAAATGTTATGTGAAATGTGATGCTTATTTCCCATTTAAAGTATGGTTTTGGTCCGCCATCAAAACTGACTTAAATGTTTCATTTGAGTAAGATCCAATGGTCTACTTTTAGGAACGCTTCTCACTCGGAATAACAAAAAAAAAACCGTTTGCTAGGACATTTTAGCACTGAGGTCAAATTTTCAGCACTTGAAAAATGACTTGATCATGGGTATTGTTGACTTTTCATTGTTGGTGTCACCTAAACTGACTGAGGTATAACTGATATGTGACAGAGGTATACATGTAGCTCTTTTCATGTCTATCAACCGTACTGTTGGCATAGTGCTTTTTTCTTTCATGTTCATGACAATGCAGGGTAAGAGCACAGCTGTGGACGGTAACCGTTCTTACAACTAACAGACACAAAATACATAGGTATTCGCACTCACGCGCGTGCACACGGTTTTTCTTGTGTGTGTGTGTGTGTGTGTGTGTGTGTGAGTGAGTGAGTGAGAGAGAGAGAGAGAGANACGAGAGAAAGGGGGGGTTAAGAGCTGTACCTCCACCGTTTTTGTAGCACAGATATGGAAACCTCCATACATTCCCCAGTCCCACAGAGAATCCGATGCAGGCGAGCAAGAAGTCTATTGGTCTGTCCCAGGTTTCACGTTTCTGCATGGGGGGTCCACCATCGTCCACCTCGTCTGCTGCTTTCTCTTTCTTTTCGATCTGGTTTTTCTCTACGCCGTCCATTTCTCCTGTATCTATAGGAACAGAGAGGCACAGAAAATTAAAATATATCAGTCAGCGTAAAGGGAACCACCCTTATCTAGTGTGTGAAAATGTACGGGGTGCCATTTCCACATTTTATTGGTAATTTATACTTATTCACTAAATTTGCATAGTCCTATTACCTCACACGTTCTACAAGTTGTATTTCATTGTACATCAATTAATTTGATGTAAGATAGCATTAGCATTATCATTATCATAAAATGCTTGGTAGTGTGTCGCTCGCTTGTGGTGCGCTGCAAAAGTGATCTAATTTCCAATCAAAAACATGATACGACCACCGCTTCCGATGGCATGTTTTTAAATCGTTAGGGTTCATACGCTGTACAACATGGGCTAAGTTGGACACGCTACGTCATATTTAGAATAAGTTCCCTAAGTATAAATGTGTGTAAATTTTAAGCTGACTGAACGATTGCGTAAAATCACGTCCAGGTAAAGCAGTTACTCGTTCAAAGCAGTGGGGTAGCCGTATTATCACCACAACAGTACCCCAGGACCTGTGTTATCCGCTGTAGACTACAAGATTCCCTTAAAGCTCACATCGACAGGAGGGTTAAGTACATTGTATGTTGTAAAGATAACACGACGTGTTAGTTATATATAACATGTTCACTTATATCCCAGGAGCAGGTAAATATTACACTTAGCCAAAGCAAGAAAACTATAGTCATTCTGTGACAATTTTAGTGGTCTTGTTTTATAGCTGTTTCAAACGCTGTAATATAAAAGGAATAAAAGATGGTGCGATGACAGCGTAATAAACATATGCGTTTTATATAACAATATTAAATAAGCTGAAAGTAAACTACACACGCCCATGCCCAAGAGAATATGAAAAAAACTCAGCTATCAGTTATGCTTTCAAATCTTTCTGTATATCAAACTCACACGAACACACACAAAAAAGAGAGAAAAATAAGCGCAAAAAATAAACTGCACAAAAATTAACATGAACATCCATATCAATGCTTACCCGGTTTGAAAACGGCTGGAGATTTAAAACCATTCGTCGCCATGATGGTAGTCACCGTTGTCTTTCTATTCTACGGCAATACACACACACACTACGCACTACAATATAAATCGGAATACTGTAACATAAATAGGAGGAGGCCAAATTGGTCGTATTTTTGAGCCCGAGTTTTTACATATGAAAAGAAAAATTTCCGTCAGACGTCTCAGTGTCAGACGTTCCCAAAAAGGATTGATCCTTGAACCATACCGGGTGCTCTTATTGTGGCGTGTTCAAGTCGAACTGAATGTGTGTTGACATGGCAGAAATAATCACTGATATATTATATCAAGGTATTTTATGAAATAGGTTAGAAATACCATGTATGTATAGATTTCGAATGGAAAGATATTTCGATGACAAATATTAAACATTGTTGAAATTTTGTAGGAAAATAAGATTAATGAAAAGATTAAGTAATTTATAATGATGATATACATGTATTTGGGCCGTCTATCCCTATGGTTGCTTTGATTTCGTACCTCTTGCACCTTTAAAAAGGTTGGAGTTTCGTGGGCGTGTGACATTTTGATTTCTTTGTAAAAAAAATTATGTTTGACACCAGTATGTAAGGAAAAACAATCCTTCAAGCGATATATTATTTCACATACATGTAATATGTTTACAATAAGTTTGCTTTACAAAATTAATTCTTCATGTTGATGTAATCCTGTAATACATTTCTATATTTCACTCATGTTTGTAATGTTACCACTAAGGAAATAATGAATAGATAAAATAAATAGGATTGGTTCTTTAGGTCTACGTATTGCCCTTGATTCTCACCTTCATCGTACACTGAGGGTAATCTTAATGTGTTTTCGTCTCGTTGTTTCGTGCGTGATGTGGTACAGGTATTTGTCTGCAGCGGTATTGTAACTCACCTGATCGTAAAAAGGTGTTTTCATTTGTTAAAGAGAGAGAGAGAAGGGGGGGGAGGAGATCTATGCTTGTGATTACGCGACGGTGACCCATTTACTTTTTTTTGTTTGTTTGTTTTTCATGTTACGCTTCACACTTGCTTATGTTAATGCGTTTTATGCAGTTCATTTTTCTGTTTCACAATAATCATTATAAGCTGGATATCTGTCCCCGTTTCTATCTCCACCACTTTAACAAAATAAATAAACAGATAAGAAAAAAGCTAATGAATATGCGTAACAGGGATAGAAAACTCGGTGCTGACAAAGGACTACTGGAGCTGTGTACAGTCATTTCTGCGGTTTAAAAAACCACCTACCTAAGACCATCTTTCAGACAGTTATGACGTTACAGAATAATAAGTAATTGATGGTACTAAGAAATAAAGAGATTTACAATACTGCGGGGCGTAAGGCAAAAAATGGCATGTATTATCTAACCAACCTTTTGACGAAGGCACTAAAACAAGTAATAAACTTTCAGTGGCAAACAAAATAATGAAAACACTTATATATACCCGGTACGTGCAACGAAAGACTTGGTTTGCATATTTCATTTTTTCTTAAAAGAAATATCAAAAGAAGAAAGAAAAATTTCAGTGGGAGATGAAGATAACATTTCACAAAAAAACTAAATATGTAATAGTGACTTGGGAAGGGAGGTGCCTATGACTGACGTGGTTGAAAAAATTGTCCGGGGAAGGTGATGAGCCCTCAAGTCCCCCCCCCCCCCTGCCCCCTGGTACTACTTCAGTGCAAGTAACGCAATATCTTATCCTGGCTTGGTGGTGCACTTGCATCATTGATTAACATAAGTTTGTTTCCTGAAAGTGGTTTATGCACAGGCATGCTTGAAAGTAAACTATCTATGCAGATACATGTAGACTGTGCCCCTCTCTGGTATGAAAACTTCAGGTGTAATACATGTCTGCACTGAGGTGTAATGTAGGCGTAACAAGACTCACACTACAAGGAATCTCACCTCACCTCACTTCACCAAGGAGGTCATCATCTCAACATCAGGGGCCTGGCCCACGAAATAACTTATGTCCTAAAATTGGTTGATATTTTAAGACTGAACACTTGGTCTTTTTCCGTTCAAAATATACCCGCAGTTTTTTTATTTAAATAAAGTTAGTGTTGTTCTAAAGTATTACTAAAGGCTTTCTCTATATAAACCAAGCGCACTACTTCTGAAATATCTCAGGTCAAAATAGAGGTCATTTTTGGTCTACAAGTTAACACCAATTTCTGGATAAACATGCAATCAAAGGCCCGTTTTTTTTTTTTTTTTTTAGTTAAGAAAATTCTCTTTGGACACTGTAATAGACCTCCCCCAAATCAGCGGCAAATGAGCTAAGATATGACTTCACAGGGCACAAATGAGAACAACCCATAGGGAAAGGCTCACAAACTAACCTGCAGTTCGGTCCTATTCAAGTCAAGATTAAATTATTGTAGAACACTTGAAAAAAGAAAGATTTAATTGAAGACATTTGCCATGTATTTTTTTTTTTTTTTTTTTGTATTTTTTTCCTTTTTTTTTTTTTTTTTTGGTTTTTTTTTTTTTTTTTTTTTTTTGTATTTTTTTTTTTTTTGTTTTTGTCATAAAGCAGACACAATATTTCATTTCATTAGACTACAACTGACTTATCTGGGGTCGAAGTGGGCTATAATTTAGGGCTAAAAGATAAGACCAATGTTGGGCTAAAGCCCGTTCGTGAAAAGCAAGACACCTGTAGCACCCCATTAACGTGAAACTGGCGAGCTTCATTACTTATGCTACCTGTGTTTGTCTCTGATAAACCGTAAACTGTGTCCCACTCTGGTATGGCAAGGGTATTGTTAATCCTTGCATTAAATTCCAATCTATATCTATTAACTGCCTTCGAAAATTTGCATGATATCGTTTTTGAGTTTATGTGCATGTTAGTAGTGACAGATGTAGATATGTTCTTTGCGTGATAAAACATATCACATCTTACAGTTACTTTCAGTGGACACATGCACCCGTACTGTTTTGACAGTGGCGAGCTGCAGATGTGTTATGAAGGCAGGCAGGATTGAGAGAGCTAGAAACGGTACAAACTTCATCAACTGACTGCCATTTTGAACAAGTGATAAATCGGCACACCATTGAACAAAGCCCGATACTTTCTTGATCCTCATTTCACACTCTCAGCTGATAGTTACAGTTTGTTAGTTTTAGTTGGGAATTCACATTTACCTGATCAAGAAATGTTAATAACGCCTTTACCCTTACGCCTTACGCTTTATTTCCCTCCGTCAAGTTTTCGATATTTTACGTATAGATATAGGGTATTTCAGTGCTTTGTCTCACAATATGAATTTTCATCAGTATGCGGAGATACAAAAGTAATGAAAAAAAGAGTGATATACGGTATATTCGTCGACATTCACTAATTTTATTACTTATATAGGTATATCTAAATCTCATATTGTACCAAAGAAACAAATCAACTGACAGAATTTGTCGACGAGCTCCCCCAGAAGTAGAAAATCACCTCTTACCTTAGTATTTGCCGTGTCCAGCCCTTCGAATTTCACTAACTGTCTCCGTTCTGACTTGTTTAAACTAAATCTTACTGAGATGAACACTTAAAATCACAAATCCTGAAATGTGTTCTTTCCAAAATTCAACAAACTCCTAAAGTGCAAACACTGAAGATGTTTGAAGAAATGCTCAGCAGTGAGTTGGGATTTGTGTACTGAACAATGGACGTCAACATATACAGCAAGGTAAGTACGTAATATTTAGGATTGCACTGCGTGATGGAAAAATTCTGTAGCTCGAGACCTCAGAACAAACTTGTCATAAGAGGTTTAGTCATAGTGGCTGTATATGAGGGCGCATTTCAAACTAAATCTGGAAATTCTGCAAGTTTTTTATCGATTCACAACTGTGTCCCGCCTGCGACAGGGTGAATAATCACCGAACGCTGAAATCAACGCGTATATTTGCTAATTTTTTTTTGTTCAAATGAAAGTTCTACGTGACAGGTAATTTTCGCCGTAATCTTGACTCTGGTTTGTAAGCGGCACTTTGTATTATACCAGAGTAGGTAGCCATAAGTCAAGGAGGAGGTGACAAGAGAAACATGGAGAGTCGAGCTTGTCCTCAATAGGGCCTATACCTTCTCGTGCTTCTGATTGCACGCGTATCTTTATAGCATGTTAAGAATAACCGATTATGAAAAAAATACTTTTATCAGATTTCATTTTAAAAGGACATTTGTATACGGTATACATTCAACGGGAAGGCATACTGTTGTTTCCCCTCTTCCTGTCTCGATTTACAATTATTCTTTTCATATCTCATAAAAGACCCACAAACCCTGCAAAACATAAATATATCTAAAGTAGGCAATGTCTTTAAATGGTAATTTTTCCCTCTTCAAATTCTGACAATGAAGGTACTCCTCAAGCCGTTTTCACGCCTTAAAATCACTTTAGTTGGTATTTGTTTGGTGTCAGTATCTATGATTGATAAATATTCGATTTTCGTGTTTTTCACGGAAGAGAAACCAAGCAATAACTTAAAAGAGTCTCAGTCTAAGTCCCGCAGCTAGCCAGCGATTTTAAAGGAAGAGAGGTCTTTTTTTAGGAAATGTGGACCTTTTTGCCTAAATGACAAAAGAAACAGATCAAAATTTGACTAAGAACAGAAAGTTTTTCCAGCCAAAATGGTAGTTCTTGCGAAGCTTGTTGTCGTTTGAAAAATTAATTTTGTCAATTTTTGGACATGCAGTGTTCATATATTTACCCCCAACAACTGAAGCAGTTTTCGTTGGTTTTTAGTGATCAAGAATCAAAAAGTTTTTCACATATTTGGTAATGTTTGATATTATTTAATAAGATAAAGAATCATTCAAGAGGGAAAGTAGAGGTTACAATTCAACTGAATCAAGGTCTTCTAATATTTTGTGAAAAATGATTGGTTTCTTCCTTGGCGGAGGTTTAAGTTAAGGGTAGAGTACGGCGTATGTTCAACGGCTCTCTGATGTCATTAATGATGCTAGGTTTGATTTAGGCGAAATTTGTACAGAAAATACTTGGATGAAGCTTAATAGTTTGTATGTAATCAGACAGGTAATCTGCGTTTCACGGGAGATCTACCACCCCTTGAAAGGACAGAAAGAAGAAGTGAATGAATGATAAGAAAACAAAAGAAAAATCACAATCTGAATATGTTCATGTCTCTGTTTATGTCACACCTATGTTTCGATGATGTCTGAAAACCTCAATTTACAGAATGGGGGCGAAATTTCTCATGCTCTTCATGATCTTTATAACAAAACAAGCCACTATTAGCAAACATTATAAGTTATTTACACGGTGCAGGCACGCTAACGACGACAATAGACTGAGTAATAAACTTAGTGAAGCGCTAGCACTGTGTGTATTCAGTATACGTAACTATACTTTCTTGACATGAAATTCCAAATTTTGATGAAGGTGGCGATGATTAGAGTCGGTATTAAGCAGAGAATAGATTTGATTTTCCGATGAGGAGCTCGAGAGTGCTGTGCTGTGTTGTGACTACAAAATAACAGTGAACAGCATCTGTTGATTCCGGAACACAGTTCATCGCTGTTCAATAATAATAATAATAATAATAATAATAATAATAATAATGAAAATGAAAATGATAAAATTGCTTCAACACAGGATTTCCTGTGGCTATCCCCTGTATTCCACTCGATTTATTACCGGGCATTTTAAGAACTGTGAAAGCATGAATACAACGACTTCCCACCTGAAATACCATAATTGTGTGACTGAAAAACAGTCATTTTTACATTTTCTATATGCTTTCTACACAATAATTATCTATCTTTAGTTGACGATATTCATGAGAGCGGTTTAAATCCAATACTTAATTTCAAGTGAGGGGTATGCAAGTAACATGTAGTGATCTATGTAGATGAACTCGTATTGACGCATATCTCATTCTAAAGAAAAGTAAACTATTCTTAGTCTTTTGGTTTACGTCCGATTGCAAAAATAGCCTCTTCATATAATTATATACGTATATTGGTATAGTAATATAATATCATAAAGATTAACAGAATTATTATTCAACCGCCTCTCTCTCTCTCTTCTGACATCTTTACATAGATAGCGACTTCTCTCTATCAGAGATATAATTTGTGGTGCCATAAAATATATCTTTGCTTTACAAGTGCCTGCTCCTACCGTATATTATACAATATATTGAGTTTCACCTGCTGAAGGTATATGAAGGTCGGACAACAAAACAATTATCATTCCTCATGCTAGGCGTCTTCATACCCTGCGGCAGTGCAAAAAAAAGGTCTATCATACATGTATTATAGAGTAACTTGTAAGTATGACGATGGAATCTCCCATCTAGCCCTGAATAAATCCACTGTGAAGGATGAAGTAAATACAACAGGCACTAAAAGACGATCATTGTAACCTGAGACAATTTACCATACTAGAGCTAAGACACCCAACAGTGGCCATCATGAAAAACAACCCCGTACGACCAACTGGCTGTCTTGAAACGAGACACATAGATGACAACAGCAAGTTAAACACGATAAAAGTGACATTAAAGTAGTCAACCCAAACATAACAATATCAGTATAAAAAAACAGGTACAACATATGAGTTAATACTTTAAACAGGAGATGGACTCTTCTAGCGCCATTGTTTCAACCTACCTGTCCCGTGGACGCGTGCCTTATCCCTATGCGGGCAGTGAGACGACGCCGCCTGAATACAAATGTGCTGTGAATCTCAGATGTTGGTAGGACAAACAGAACAGAGTCCCGGGACAACTTACTATAACAATAGCGTCCCTGGGGGTTGCCGGAGAAGAACAGAGCACAGGAGGGGGGGCGGTGAAATGTTATTAAAGATAAGTACGCTTCGTTTAATTAATTATATAATAAAGTATTGTCAGCTTCTGTTTTCCTAAGTCAAAGGCCATGTGAACATTTTGGATTACTAGCCTTGACAAGCTCATTCAGAATGCGATAGGTGAGTGATATATTGTGAAGGTAATACTCGTAGCTTACTGGTACCCTAACAAAGCCCCAAAACAACACAGTAATTGAATGTGTTAGTTGCGATGTAGAAGGATTGCGGGGTCAGTTTCAAAGTTGGGGAGAGGGATAATGGCAGATAGGCGGCTATTATGTTAACCGAACAAGCTAGCTCAACATTTGATGAATTGCTTGAAAACTGATTGCAATGGCTTTCATTTCATAGATATATTTTATTCTACAATACACCTATATTGAGATAGGGTGCACTGCATCTATTGTGTCCCTGGCCTTACATGTAGCCCTATGTTGAAATAACCGTAATGGGGCAGTAAAAACAAAGAGGTTGCATGGGAATGATTTTAATATTATAAGCTCGCCAAATAAATCCACGTGGAAATAGCTGGTTCCACACTCATTATCAATATATAAGTTCATTAGAGGTGAATGAAGTGAAAGATATATTCGCGAATTATTACTTTTTCTTGAACTCTGGTGACGTAAAATGATAAATGTAGCTTTTTTTAAATCGTAGAATATTGCTAAAATGGGGATTTTTTTCTTGTATTTTTTGTATTTTAGTTACAAAAGTTTAGAAAAATAACAACCCTTTGGATAATATTTGCCCGTTACTAATACCAACAAATATTAGACTGTGCTGAAGGGGTATTACGAGATGCACGTTTATTTCACTGGTACATTTTGCCCGCAAAATCAAGCGCATTTTCACAATGCTTTGATACGAACATTTTGCATATTACTTTATAAGAGAATTCAGTTTTGCCATGTTTCGTGTAATATTTGACTGTGCCCTGTCACCATATCGTTAGCTTATCACGGCTGTAACTAACCTAAAGATTTTATTAATGGCCAAAATATTACAGAACATCATACAACTAAAATGACCTGCGCCAAAAGCTGTAGCGAAGGTTTTTTAAAAATTATTATTTAAAAACCCGGCGACACAACACCGCGAAAGTAGCCTTAATCCACCTCAAGCCAATTACTGAGATATTTGAAATAAGCATTCAAGACATTTTCCAGGACATAAGACATCATGCTCATTTCATCAATTGTTGCAGATTTTCAGTAAAACTAAACTAGATCGATTGGAGAATATGGGATCTTGCTGCGAGCGACAGTAAAGAAGGTTTAAAATTTATTATTATTCTTTTTTAAGTTTTTTAAGTTGCTAAGTCCACCTGGACAATCAATTCTTCCGCTCGCTTACTTTCAAAAAATTTTTAAAAAATGTTAAATGGACCTAAATATTGAGAATGAGTGTTTGGCGGAAAGAGGTAAGAAAACTCAATAACATAATGCGCTTGTCTGCTGGAACTTTGGAAGATGGAAGTGTTTTTTTTTATTTTTTTTTAGTTTTTTACCAGTTGGCTTTCCAGAATAATATCTCTTTGGTTTGTGCATACTTAAAAGTGAGACAACGAAAAATTATGCAAGTTTATTACATCAAAATGCACCATAACAATACATGTATATTTCTTTTTAAACTTGGACATTTTTTCGCAAAGGTAGTGTTTGTATGTGCACCTTTTTAATGTAAAGTGACAAAAAACAGCAAGTTCAAATATATATATATATAGCACCTTAAACAAAGCACGTGGCAAAAAATAATACTTTATGGCTTGTAATTGATTGTAGCTCCACTCTCGGCTACTTTCCTTCGGGCAATACCAGTGGCTACATAGCCTCCAAAGTCAAGTAGCAAAGCTGCGCTAAATCAAATAATCCCAACCCCGATTCGAAAGAGACATTCACATTAAACTGTGACAGTCACACATAACTCTAATATTGTCACAAGAAAAACATTATAAACAGCTTAAGCGGCCTTAGTTAGACGCCAAAGTGTATAAACTGACTGACGTAAACTATGGAACACACAATGTTAACTCAGATGACGGGTTAAAAAAGGACGATTGGGATTATTTGTAAAAAAAATGCAAAATGCAATATAATTTAGTCTTCAACAGAACTGTCACGAATTGTCACTATGTCCACTTTCTTGGAGCGTTTATGTGAGCTCTTTTTCTTTTTGGAGGAAGAGTCATCGATGAGTGTAATGGATGTATTGGTTGGAGATTGTCTTGCTTCGGAGTGCCAGCTAGTGGTATGTATAGGGCTCTCAGCAGACGATCCCACCGGCAACTGATATGTGTTTGTATCTTGCTCTATGCTGATGGCTTTCACTGCATTTTTGTCTGCTTTGGTAAATTTCTTTTTGATAAATCGGACGAATTTACCGGTATCTCTTTTGAACTGAAATAGAGCAATATATAAACTTAATGCAAAGACGCTCTTTATTAAAAAAATTAAAGATTTTTTCTGGATCCTTCAGTTATAAGCCCTATATTACACGGCAGATATCACATATAACAGGTCTGTATTGACAGGTCTGTATTAAACTTATCACAATCACTGTCTTATTATTCCATTGAAAGAAGACTTTCAAAAGGAACTTTTTGTTCCGCATACCTCTTTTGCTAGTCCTTTTGATGATTCTTTGAAACTTCGGGTCGCTGGTGTTGGTTCAGACAAAACTGAGGAGCCGTCCCCAGAGTCCATGGTCTGGAAAAAACAAATAGCCATAAACAGTACAGGTAAGCGGAAAGCCATGGCTCAAACCTGGCGTTGTATCATAAATGGTTATTTTATAAATGGTTAGTACCTAGTACACAATGAACATAAAAATTGCACTGAAGCATAGGGCCTACCTTACCAAAAAGTGCAACCAATGAGAGCATATGTGGATTCTTCTATGACAACTCTTCTATAGTATTTTTCAGGAGTCGGACGGGAAGGGATATTTTTATTTGTTTATTTATTTTTAATTTTTTTTTGCCAAGAATTGTGTTAGGCCTATTCAGTGCTCTTTTCAGATTATTTTGTCACATAAAGAAGTTACAGCGGACGTCGTCTTTTGGTCCATCATTGTTTGTTGTCGTTTACAAACGCGACTCGGTAAATACACATGGAATTGTTATGTGTGTGTGTGAGTTTCGAATTTGATCCCGAATAAGATTTTATTTAATCGACTGTAACCTAATAGATGACCACAAGCGTGCTGGCAACTTGAGCCGTGAGCCGCAAACAGACGTATCTATTTCCAACGCCATTTTTTATCACTAAGTTCAGCGGTTGGGGCATGTTCTTGAATAGGGCTGTTGTATAAAATGATAAGATTTCAGATCCCCTAGGTCGTATTATTTGCCCTTGAATTTCCAGCTTATGCTCATGAGCAAAAATAACAGGAAAGATTTATGCAGTCATCTTGTAAGCGGCGCACAGGTAATCTTGCTTGGATCTCTTTTTTCCAGTTAAAATAATTCCCCGATTCAACACCCACAATTAAATAATTATTAAAAGGTGTTTAGATAATCTTAATATTTCTCCTAGGTGACTTAAGGTCGGGGGAGGAACAGGCTTAATCACAAAGTCAATTAATGTGCTCCGCGTGCATTACATTCCTAGCGTACTAAAGAGCGTTTCTCGGAGGAGGTATTCTGACTAATTAACTGCTGATTAATTCCATAGGTTATGCCAGATTTAAATAAGCAGCGTGACGTACCACCTTGTGCAATGTTGCCTAACTCTAATCGATATTGTTTCGAGTGAGTCGGTATCCATTTCACTGTCGTTTCTTAGATTCGATAACGTAAATATTTGCCGCGTCGTCGTAGTCACTGTTTTTATTAAATCGATGACAACTTGTGACATACAGTTACAAAGCACAAGAACTTAACAAGAACGTCGGGATGGGGTGGAAGTTGCAATCAGAGCATAAGAAATATCACTCCCGTATAGTGGATTGAACAAGGAGTTGACAGTTTCGAAAGCGAAGTTAGATTAGGTCCTCTCATGGTAAACACTTCATCTGAGCTGAACAGCTTACTGCTAGATAGATAAGTGACACTTGTATCATAAATACATAAAGATACGGAGATGAATGAAGGTCTTATTCAAAAGACTGGGGTCACTGTATGAGTAATTCGAGTGAAACAGGTGTCTGTACATGGTGATCTGTTAAGTCTTCTCTCATCCTATGTTTGAGAATTATGAAAAAATTATCAGAAAATAATTTTCTGAAGTTGTATCAAGTAAAAACAAGAATCATCTGACTTCGGATAATCCTCTTACCCTTATATTCAGGACGCCGAGGGAAAAACAATTTCGGATTAAATTTCAATTTCCTATTCTGTTTACCTGCTGTGCTGCACCTAGCTACTGGTGAGCCATGTCTTTAACACAGAAGACAATAGAATGTCAAATACATCCAAATGGGGACAGTCCCTCCAACCCCCTTATTTTCGGGACTCCGAAATATAGCCTCTCTAGATTTGTATTGATATCCCTCATGGTACAGTAAGTAATCGATAGTTTCAACTAACATTACAATAAAATGTGACATTGATGATGACGTCCTCTTTGTTAAGTGACCAGATATTTTTTCAAGTGTGACACAGGTGCGAGGACACGCGCAAAATATCTGTACGACAAACGCCATCTCCTAATTTCAAAGAATATTGAGTTACACAATTAAATGATATGACTTTTAAGGTAAAATATTTACTATTTTACTCGATGGAAATGTGTTGAATTCTGAGGACAGCAGTGAGGACAGAGCTTTGTATCTTCTCATGTGTCAGGTTCACAATATTAAAACAGCTGTCAGATTGAACAAACTCCCCTTAAAAACAGGTTACCTGGTAATAGAGGGAAGTTCCATAGAATGACTTGTGAATAGTGAATAGCTTCCCTATATAGTCTAAGGTAAAAAGAGCGTCAAGTCCTTATTTTTAGAATACTGAGGAACTCTAACTGACAGACGTGGGTGATAAGTTTATATAATACATGTCGCGATTGACACCAGGACCTGTTTTACAATATAACTTTAGTCCTAAAATTGGTCTTAACTTTCAGGTCAAAATATTAGGCAAATATAATCCAGCAGACGAATTAGAATAAAAACAAAACAATAAAGAGATGGCTAATGATGCACATCAATACAGATACTAACTCCTACCTCATATTGATGAAATACTGAAGCTTTATTTTGAACTGGCAAATTCATGGTTTAAACATTATGACTGATTCACAGGCTAATGTTATTTTATCAGACTAGTTCCTGGTTCCTTATAGGTGTAATTTGCTGTACCAAGTATTTTTCATGGAAGTGGATAGATGTTTTGACCAAAAATGAAGATTTTCAGACAAAAGCTGGACGTTTGAAAATGGTAATAAAAAGCGTTTTAGAAAAGTAACTGTGAAGTACGTCTACGTGATTTGCGAATCATAGGTACTGGTACATGTACATGTATAGCCTGTCCGTCCATCTTCAATGTGTTGATACTGTAATTCATTAAAGTATAAACACACGGTAACATTAGTACACCGTGTAATGTATAAACAATTACCTCATTCCCTAGAAAAGAGCCTTCATCTCCACTCTCGTCCGTGGAGTGATCCCTATGATGTAGATCTTCTACAATATCCATCCTCTCCCTAGCCGTCTTCTGTACTATCTATCTATCTGGCTTGTACGAGTCACGCCGAGTAACTAAGTTCAACAGTCCCCTGGGTTGTTGACTTTCAAAATGTTTCCTTCTGTAGGACAATGGTCGAGTATTCTCCTCGAGTGGTTTTTACGAATGAGTCGATTCTTGTATACTTTGTCGCTTTTGACTATGTTCAACGGCTTAAGTTACGTCAACAAGCAAACACAGGTAAACAGAGAGCGTGTGGCAGGTAACAGGTCCAAGGCGATTAATAATCTTTAGTCCTTTTGTCTTTTATTTCCACAATTAACAAACATATGAATGATGACTGAATACAAACGATATATTTCTTATCTTGATATGGACCGAACATTGATAATGAGGATATTTTGAGAATGATATTCGATTAAAAACGTTTGATTTTCTAAACTATCCGTTTCAGGAAGGGACCTGTCGTTGCTAGGTGACAGTGTATACAAACAAAGTAGGAGGTTCACCTTATCGAGGTGCGAGTCCTGCCCATGAAAATTAACACCTGGGCCGTCCCGCAGGATAATTTATCAGTCGCACTTAGACAAATCGTAATTTGTATGCTTGGCGATTAAAAAGATGTCAAATTTTAAAGTGACATAAGCAAATATCACACGGGGTGCGATTTGTATTACTTAATGCCTACACGTAGTATTTTATGATGAGGTGGAGGTAAGATAGGCCTATGTTGTAACTATAACTCTTCGAGGAAAGTTGTTAAAATCGTCTACGGGCGAGAATATTGAACAATTGAAAAAATATTGAAAAAGGATAAGACATTATAAAAATCCAAAATGATGTTTAAACAAACCGTACCTTTCATGTGTTTTATAGAGCATCGACGAGAATTAATTAACCATTTAGGCATAGTAAATTTCATGAATGGTCGTTACCACCCAGTTCATTCAGGTTAAAATTGCGCTGGCTGTAGCATATTTATTACAGATATCAATTTAAGCGATATTGCTGCTTTTATTTCTGATGGCAACTGAAATACTTAGCAACAAGACTTTTTGAAAGGAAAATCACACACAATCTACAATATTGTCAGATACCACATACTCGTATATTTCATATAATACAGGAGGTGAACAATAGTATTTTCTGTAAGGATCGGTCTATCGAATAAAAGTTCAGATTTTATTTTATCAAGACTACATCATTGATCGTTAAGCTAACAGTTTAAATCCAGTGATTTGTCGGCCTAGGTTGGGTACCAACGTAATATTGGCACATTGAAGNCTAAAAACAGGTGACCTGGTAATAGAGGTAAGTTCCATAGAATGACTTGTGAATAGTTCACCTCAATCCAACGGGTGGAGCTTCCCTATATAGTCTAAGGTAAAAAGAGCGTCAAGTCCTTATTTTTAGAATACTGAGGAAATCTAACTGACAGACGTGGGTGATAAGTTTATATAATACATGACGCGATTGACACCAGGACCTGTTTTACAATATAACTTTAGTCCTAAAATTGGTCTTAACTTTCAGGTCAAAATATTAGGCAAATATAATCCAGCAGACGAATTAGAATAAAAACAAAACAATAAAGAGATGGCTAATGATGCACATCAATACAGATACTAACTCCTACCTCATATTGATGAAATACTGAAGCTTTATTTTGAACTGGCAAATTCATGGTTTAAACATTATGACTGATTCACAGGCTAATGTTATTTTATCAGACTAGTTCCTGGTTCCTTATAGGTGTAATTTGCTGTACCAAGTATTTTTCATGGAGGTGGATAGATGTTTTGACCAAAAAGGAAGATTTTCAGACAAAAGCTGGACGTTTGAGAATGGTAATAAAAGGCGTTTTAGAGAAGTAACTGTGAAGTATGTCTACGTGATTTGCGAATCATAGGTACTGGTACATGTACATGTATAGCCTGTCCGTCCATCTTCAATGTGTTGATACTGTAATTCATTAAACTATAAACACATGGTAATGTTAGTACACCGTGTGATGTATAAACAATTACCTCATTCCCGAGAAAAGAGCCTTCATCTCCACTCTCGTCCGTGGAGTGATCCCTATGATGTAGATCTTCTACAATATCCATCCTCTCCCTAGCCGTCTTCTGTACTATCTATCTATCTGGCTTGTACGAGTCACGCCGAGTAACTAAGTTCAACAGTCCCCTGGGTTGTTGACTTTCAAAATGTTTCCTTTTGAAGGACAATGGTCGAGTATTCTCCTCGAGTGGTTTTTACGAATGAGTCGATTCTTGTATACTTTGTCGCTTTTGACTATGTTCAACGGCTTAAGTTACGTCAACAAGCAAACACAGGTAAACAGAGAGCGTGTGGCAGGTAACAGGTCCAAGGCGATTAATAATCTTTAGTCCTTTTGTCTTTTATTTCCACAATTAACAAACATATGAATGATGACTGAATAAAAACGATATATTTCTTATCTTAATATGGACCGAACATTGATGATGAGGATATTTTGAGAATGATATTCGATTAAAAACGTTTGATTTTCTAAACTATCCGTTTCAGGAAGGGACCTGTCGTTGCTAGGTGACAGTGTATACAAACAAAGTAGGAGGTTCACCTTATCGTGGTACGAATCCAGCTCATGAAAATTAACACCTGGGCCGTCCCGCGCGATAATTTATCAGTCGCACTGAGACAAATAATACTTTGTATGCATAGCGATTAAAAAGATGTCAAATTTTAAAGTGACATAAGCAAATATCACACGGGGTGCGATTTGTATTACTTAATGCGTACACGTAGTATTTTATGATGAGGTGGAGGTAAGATAGGCCTATGTTGTAACTATAACTCTTCGAGGAAAGTTGTAAAAATCGTCTACGGGCGAGAATATTGAACAATTGAAAAAATCTTGAAAAAAGATAAGAAATTATAAAAGTCCAAAATGATGTTGAAACAAACCGCATTTTTCGTGTGTTTTATAGAGCATCGACGAGAATTTATTAGCCATTTAGGCATCATAAATTTAATGAACGGTCAATACCACCCAGTTCATTCAGGTTAAAATTGCGCTAGCTGTAGCATATTTATTACAGATATCAATTTAAGCGATATTGCTGCTTTTATTTCTGATGGCAACTGAAATACTTAGCAACAAGACTTTTTGAAAGGAAAATCACACACAATCTACAATATTGTCAGATACCACATACTCGTATATTTCATATAATACAGGAGGTGAACAATAGTATTTTCTGTAAGGATCGGTCTATCGAATAAAAGTTCAGATTTTATTTTATCAAGACTACATCATTGATCGTTAAGCTAACAGTTTGATATGCGACGAAATAAATCCAGTGATTTGTCGGCCTAGGTTGGGTACCAACGTAATATTGGCACATTGAAGATATAGTCGTTTTTCACGTAAAACAAAATCGGATTATTCAAATCAATCTTTCTGAATTCACATATATTACCTGCTTTTGAAGTTCTTTAAGATGACAAGTAGTCGAATAAATGTGAGCAGAGATGTAGTTCACGATGTAGGGATGTTGTTACTGTTTCTCAAATGTCGAAATGAATCCTACTGTAGTTGAATTTCTTTAGGAAAAAAATATGCAGCAGTCACAGTTTACAGTTTGTGGCTGATCGAGTGATTAAATCGGTTTATCTTTTGGCATGCCGACTTTATTTGAGTCATAATAACTAGCAGAAGTGGTTTAAATGCGTTACTGAGAATCCACGCTCCACTGATGCTGTATTAAAATACACCTTTAAATTGAAATTCCCATTTTGAGTTTAACCAAAGCGCGTTTGTCATTCGTTTCATTAAACTTTTAAAATTTCAAAGGTTGCAATAAGAATGAATAGACAGCATCGCGGACATCACACATGCAGACGAAAAAATGAATATAAATGTGACACATTTTCTAAACTTTATCGAAAGGCAAGTGGAGGAAATGTAATGCATCTGCCCTGTCCATCCTTTTAAAATACCCAGATTCCGACCCTGGTGCCGGAGAGAGCTGTATCTGACGTCACCATCCGTACATATTTATATAACTGCAGTCACTTCAGCATCGTGCCGTCCCTCTGCTGTGGCCTTGTGCTGGGGTGGTGACGATCCGTTTATAATATAATCCTGCAGCAGCGCACATTTGAGTCCGCTCAACTGTCAGCTCGGCCTGGTATGTGTAACATATGGAGTACGTAGGGACAGATATAGAACTGAATACATTGGAGATGGTTTTATCAAACGCCTTTTAATATATATATATATATATATATATATATATATATATATATATATATATATATATATATTTTTTTTTTTAAATTAATCTGCAAAATAACTTATTTGGTCTACCATGTTTAGAATCATGACTGTATGTAATTCTCGTTTTAAACTACGATCTGAAGGAAATAATACGTTTTTTAATATAAATGGGTATATTTTATTGATATGTCTTAACATGCTTGTTGGTGAAAAGATAAAAAAGATTCGTTCGTGCGACAATATTTATTTCCATATAAGCATTCTGGCAATGGTTGTTATCTGAATCCACAATGTTGTCTTTCAACTCCACCATCAAAAGGAACGGAAAGTAATAAGTTCGTATAGCAGGGAAGAGCGTTATTATTTTACACCACGTTATTTATCAATTTCCAATTTGCACTCACTTATCACCCTGACCAGATAATCAACTAAATCAGCAGTCAGACTGATCAACAGCCTCATTTCCTTCTTCAATTACACATCGTACGCAGTTCACCTTTTCTGTCTCAAGGTTCATCACAAACCACAATTTGGCATTAGTTTGGCGTCTGCAAACTAGCGTCCAATTACGAAATTAATTATCACCATGATTTTGCATTGTCTGGGTACAGGTTAGTTATCTTTACTAATGGTCTCGATATTACAATGTATATTTTCGCCGTTTCTGTGACTTTTTCTTAGTGTAGTGAATGCCTTTTTTGTTAACAAAAAAATAGTAAATTAAAAATAAAAATAAAAAAACTCGCAGTTCAACGCAAGGATGACTGGAGTAGCCGCTATCGTGTGTTTATTTTACAGGTGGGATGTATTTGGTCGCTAAGTATCAAACAGCAGTTTTTCAATTATCTAAATTCTTAATAGAAAACTCATTCTGTAATGACAATCTATCGCCTGTAAACTTTTTTACTCTCATTAGCTTTACACATAGCACTTCAGTATCTTAATATATTTAGCACAAAATTACAGAAACATTTTGTAACAAAATACACCGTTTGTAGGCGCTGTTTATTCTCGGACTGCCCTCGGGAGGCTGGGAGGGAGCATGGTGTACAGTCAAACGTGCTGTACCTCCTTTCCTAAAAGGAGAACTCAAGAAAAATATGTGCCCCCTAGCGGCGACGAGGTAGGCAGTAGATACACCCAGAACAGTCTATTCTATGGGACTCTCTCTGTCACCTGCTTAGTTGTTGGTTCTTTGGTGTCATTCAAGGTCATTTGGCATTTCTCTCTAAAAATTCAATGTTTCTCGTTGCTTCTTTATCCTTGGCTGCAACTGTTTGTGATACATACTAGTATTTTTCAAAGTCAATACATAAATATAGAAAGCTATGTCGTAAGGATGGAGCACTCGGAAACAAAGGCACACGGGACACCACGCCGGGAAATATGTACTGTTACAGGATGACGTCATGCGTGTAGATTTTAATAATGTTGCGTCACTACGCCAATCACTGACGTAAGGGTCAGGTCATTACGTCACACAGGTGGATCAGGATAATGAATTATCACCACGTCGTAAGGTTATTTTCAAGTTTATTGTCACGTCATGCATTTCTAAAGTAATGGCGTAACATACGAGTGACTGTGACGTCATGCATGTTGATCAGGATGACGTGTCGCCACAAAATCAGTGCTGCATTTATGTCTAATAGGTTCTAGTCGTATTCGTTCACTGTGAGGGTGAGAGCAGTGCAGTGTCGGAAGGGTGACCCCGTAAGGATCGTAAGGCACTCTGAAATAGGAGGAAGGGCACATTAGGGTTACGACACATTCTTCGCACAAACAACATTGCAAACGTTATTACTGTAAACTAGGCTGTCATAGTTGGGCAGTGATGTCATAGTGGGGCAGTGATATAGAATACTGTTCCTAGATTTCACTCGCATTAAGCAACATATTTGTGTCATTAATGTATCAGAAGACCATACATCATATAACTTTCTTAATTGAAGAGGGTATTCTTCGACAACAGGTTTTAATACATTTTTTAAAGTACAGCAAGCGTGCAACTTAAATAAATGGAATCACGATAGAATAGACACCAAGTTATGTAAAAACAATACAATAAGCATACAAGACATTCAGGAAAAATGTACATCATGTGACGTCACATAAAAATATATGATGTAATAATACAGTAAAGAAATATACTGGTAAAGAAAAAGCGTGCAAGGATGACGTTACCGAAAGCGGTGTTGATGACGTCGAACCGAGGTCACGTGGCCTCTGCGCTCTGGTAAAAGAAAGCATGTGAGTTAAGATCATAAGTGTTTTTAAAACTATATCAATCCGGTTGCCAACTAATTAAGCAGCGGTTGAAAAAACCTACAGGATACAAAAACTAGCCATGGAATTAATGAACGTAAGGTGTAGGGTTCTAGCCTACAGAGCTTTCTACTAGTAATGACGCAAACTAGACAAAAAGCCCCAAATTTTCAAACTTCCTGTCGATTTTTCCCGAAAAAGTAGAATAATGTAACTGAGGAGTGACACTTTAATTAATGCAAGCTAAACTAAAAATCTAAACACGCTGTGAAAATATTTTATCTAGTAAAACTAGTAGAAAGCTGAGGGGGTCTGGAAATAGGAGTAGGATAGTGGCAAGAGGAGACTTAAAGGGGGTTGGGTAGTATCAAGGGAATTCGGTGTGAAGGGCAGGGTTTAGCATGCTTGAGTACTGCTGGTACTAGACACCTTCCGTTCGCCAGCATTGGCCAACAACGCTGCTTTGTTACTAGCACGGCGTTCTGACACTCGGCTCATCTCCGTGCTTCTGAAACTCCACGTGAATGAGGAACGTCCTGAAACACAGAAGATGCAATGTTAAGTGATTAATTACAACATCGACTATCCTGCAGCTCTCTTCACACTCAGATGTTTAGGATTTGAAGCTTGAATCACCTAGGCCCATTCAGAATAGGGGACTAACTAGTCCGAGAGTCAAATATGGCCTAGACCAACTTGAATACTTCCCCACTATTCTGTGTCTACTAGCGGATTAGACGGCAAGCTTTGTAGTGGGATGCAATATTTGACCCTTGGATTAGTTGTTCCCCTAATCTGAATGGGCCTTATACACATCTACCCACCCAACACTGTTACATTAGACAATAAAAGTGTTGGCAAATATAAACCCACTGTATTGTGCTAATGGAGCAATTTGTCTGATGATTTCGTCCCGAATTTGTGCTCTTGGATTCACATCGGTCTCAATTAAAACTGTGTGTAAACGAGCCTTCAGCTATAGAAGCCAATAAAACAACTACAACCAAAAGTAAGCTATCTAACAACGATTACTAGTTTTTGCTAACTAGAGAGGCGGTTCTTTTTTCAAAGCGTTGTGAACATTCTCCTTCTAATAAGCAGCGTAATAAAATAAATCTAAACTGGTTGATTTCACAGTTTTCTTGTTTTCTAGAGCCTACTGAAGCACATAAGTTGGATTTGCCGAAAAATCTTTTTAACATTAAAATTGCAATTTTAACAATGAAATTTAGCTTGAAATGGTAGTTTTCTTTAAAATCTTAAAGCACAAAAATAAATAAATAAATAAATCAAAAGAGTGAAGTTTTACGTTGTTAACATTTTAGGCGCTTTTAAATATTCTTAAATAAGATGCATGTTAGAACGCACTTCTAATAACATGTAAATCAATAATCATCAATTTTGAATTATATTCAATCTTTATCATAACTTTTCTCCATAAATTTTAAGTTGTGTCTGATTGTTTGTGTGTGTGTGTTTGTGTGTGTGAAGACGCATTCGAGCAAGTGTGCTCATGTGTGGACGATGTATTTCAGCGTTTGTACGTGTGTGTATATGTTAATATATATATGTGTGTGGAGGGGCTGAAGTCCATAGCCGTGTACCTACCTGTCGCTGGGGACCCGAAGTCACTATCTCTCCCGCGCTTCATCTGGGGCGGAAGTTTTGGCCGGATACAACGGAAAGCAGCCAGGAAGCTGTGTCTGAATTTTTTGTTCATGAAACAGTACGTTATAGGGTTACAGCAAGCAGACACATAGGAAAGCAGCTGTATCAGCGACCAGCACACTGCCGTCAGGTGCTTGCGGGCGGAGGCCTTGTCGAAGTCAACCCAGGTATAGAGGGCGTACAGAGGTGTCCAGCAGATGAAGAACTCGAGGACAATCACGAACAGCATTCGTATCACCCTTTTTTTCGCAGCGAGGCTTTTCTCGGCGTTACTCCGTCGCACTGCCGAATGCTCGAAATCCATGCGTTTATGGGAACACGTGTTGCCGTTAGTCGTCACCTCGTCGTCTATGACGTCACGGTTACTGCCGAGCTGGCGAAGTTCTGGAGAATAAAACAGAAAAAGGAAACAGTTTTCTAGTTATTCTCTAATTTACCATAATTTTCTTGGTTTTAATCGTACATGTAACAATTTAGATACAGAAACAATTTTAAAGTTTTAACTTTACGCTTTAAAAACGCTTTAAAAAGAATGAAAGAATGCTGTTGTATAAAATGTCGTGGCTTATATTATTAGGCTACCTCTAAATCGTGACACCAGGCATCGATATGTTAGCAAAAAATGCTCTCACTTAAATATTGTTTTCAATTTCTATTTCTTCGTAACCAGATCCAGTTAGCCTTCTAACAGTTAGCCTTCTAACTGTATCAAAACGCATTTTTCATACTTGGTGAGTAACATCGGGTTTTTAAGTCCGGTCAGGGAGGCCTGAAACAGATGTTTACTTTGCTGTAAACATGAGTAAACTGTTCATTACCTTGTTGTCCCTGCATCTCCATCTTAATCCCAATCCACAGCGTCCTAGCAATCAGTCCGTACGCCACCAACATCACCTCTAGGGGCAGCACCAGCAGCACCACGTCCAGGAACACCGTGTATGCCCTTCTCAGGTCCACCAATTCTCCCCAGTCCTCGTCACACTTGTGGTTCCCATTGGGTAGCGTCCAGTACTTGTGGACCACGGCGATAGGGATCATGATCACGAGGGCCGTGCTCCAGACGGCCGCTATGGTCTTGTAAGAGTGAGACAGCGTCTGCCAGCTCCGTGAGTGAAGCGGTCGGCAGATCGCGCAATAGCGTTCCAGAGAGATGGCAACGAGCGTGAAGACGCTGACGGCAGCGGAAACCGCTACAAAACAATTAACGTGAGAAAATGAATTTTGCATCGCATGTAATATAAATTCATATTTACATATATCGGATTGGCTGGAAAATAATTTAAAAAAAACGACAGTTTCATTATTTAAAGCAAGAATCGTAGCCTTTTCAAATAGTGGTATCTCGCGGCGGGAAACGGGTGACCGCAAAATTTCATTACATATGGAATTCGAATTTAAAGGAAATAATGTTTTAATATAATATTATAGTCATCATATCCATTTTTATCGTCATCGTCATCATATCCATTTTTATATGTATAAATAAGTTTATTCATACCATTGTGAAACAGTCTGAATATGCATTCACATATACATGAACCAGTATATGCAGTATAATAGTTTATAATGCTATGTAAAGATGGCGCTATGAGCGCTGTTGAAACAAGCTTTACCAAGAGGAACGCAATCGTTTCCGAAAAGGTTATCGGCTTTGGATACAGCAGATAAGCAATTGATTGTATTTCATTAGTGCGAACAGAGGAGCAAGCTAGCAAACACGTTATGGCTGTTCTGAGCGGACTTACACAATATGGGACCACAAATAAATGCCTTTTTTTCTAATCTATTATTTTCTACAAGTATTGTTTAACGTTGTCAATTTTAAAAAAAGACTGGTTAATATTCTGTATGTTGACATGCACTTCCTCTGGGTTGCCTACCAGTATATACGCTATATACATTGTACCTGGTAAGTTATAGTCTTTGTAGAAATAAAAATAAAAAGCACTTGTACCGAAAAAGGTAAACGAAAAAATCACTGGAATACATCTGCGTTATCACTAAGTCTGTTCTGCTGTCATTGAAGGTTGTCATTGCTGATGTTGTCATTGTGATGTTATAGATGAGCCATCTAAGGTACGATTCCACAACGGGCGGTACATTTAACTGGGCCGGGCCACTTTGAGTAATTAAGAACGTTATGACCTCATTACGTCAGGGAGTATCATCAGAATGGAACACAAATAAACAAACGAAAAAAAAAAAAAACACTTGTTGCTCGCCATGAAATCATACACCATTTACATTACTAATAGCTGCCCAGCGAATTCGTGTCTTAGTTTGATTTACACTTTCCTCTTCTAAACAGGAATGGTCTCCGTCTCTCTCTGTCTTGGATAATATGCACAATCGGCAAACTGTTTTACTGATTAGATTTTACGCGTAATCAGGTTCGACAAGGCAGAACATGGAAATGGAGAACGTGGGCCGGGTTCGTCACGTTCTGATCCGTCTAGACCTCGTTTTCTCACTTTATCATCTGTCATTTCTTTCTGTTCAATTTACTTTTATAACACAATCGGGCGCTGCTCGATAAATTAAGTAATATATGATATTTATCGTGCTGCCCTGCATAATAGCAGCATAACCATCGACTAATTTCCCTTAAACATTATCTAATGAGATCAATAGAAATTAAAAGTAGTGCGAAAGTATTAATACCTTCTCCCCATGGCAGTAATAAGCCAGGTCAAATAGTGCAAAGAACGCAATAAAGTATTAATACAAGTACGTTTCCCGAATGCAGAATACGCGGTGTAATATCCGGCGCTGTCAACTAATGACTTATTTATTGTTTCGAGATAAAATGGCAGACAGCGCAGATCAAAGCGCAGCTTTTCCTGCCTCCACTGCAGGTAGCCATTTTCTATCAAGCATGCTTATAAAATGTCCATCGTTAATTGATACTTTATGATTTACTGATGCGTAGGTTTAAGTGAAATCATAGTTTGATCCATTATTTCTTGTGTAATATTATTGTTTCGGATCAGTATTGACTTAATTGAAATATATTGAGTTTAATGTCCGACGCCTTCGCCGTGCCTGTGATGAATACGATATCAAGGCTAAATGGCGTAAACACCCCTATTCAGCATTCACTTTATAAGGTTTCCACAGAATGTCTGGCCCCATAACTGTCTTTTGATTTTGTGACTAATAAACTGACAACTGTTTTGTATTCAACGGTAGAACCTTGCCTTCAGATTTAGTTTTGATCATTTCCTTTGCGCCAATTCCTAGCAAAACCCATTCCCTTTTCGTGGAATGTTCAGCTAAGCAAGCTAACTATAATCACATGAAAACAAATGGAAGTGTAGTACGGTTAAACAGGTATTTTTACAAACTCTCTGTTCCACATATTGTTTTTAAATTTTTGACACATAAATGTAGAATATTGATAGACGTTGCAAGTCACAATTTCAGCCTACTATGAAGTTTTGCGTCTAGGTGTGGAGCAGATTACCGCGCCAAAGCCTCGTTTTGAATGTCCTAGCTGCGGGTGTGTTTTGAACTACATGCTTAACACGCAATCCCGTAGATCAGAGCGTATGGTATTCCTTTCAGCTGTTGGGATAAACTTTAGACCCTGACACAAATCGGCTATCATCTATCAAGATTCTAAATTATGGAGTTCCTTTTCTAATTGGACTTGAATTTGTAATCTAGATGTGTCTGTCGACCATAAAAAACGATCTCTCTCTCTCTCTCTCTCTCTGTGTGTGTGTGTGATCAAACGAGATCAGACCCAACTTCAATTATGCATATTATGCGTCACAGCTCCATATCTCATACATATCGAGACGTTTCATTTGGTTTCATTCCCAACTCGTACTTGGCCTCGACCACCAATCTTTTTCTCTTATCCGTGCCAGAAAAGATTTATAAATTGCAATGTTTCTAATTTGCATGAATGAGTTTCCAACGATACGAGCTTATATATCTTTAACTTTGATTACAAAGACAATCTGAAAAATCGAATTATTGGACAGTTTTAATTCAAAGGATGAAATAACAGATATCGTTTTTGTGCACAATAATAACGGGTCGATTGCATACATACTGATTTTGTTTACAGAATCTGAACTTTAACAACTGCAAAGTCAACACCCAAACTACAAATCTATTTCATCTCAATTTCCCGCAGATTACTACTTGTCAATGCTACAAGAGCAAAGTTTTGCAATAGTGTCTCTGAGTCACGTCCGGTCAAACCACCCGACAAGTCTTAGAAAGAAGGTGTACATTTCAGAGTTCCCAGAAGAGCAATTATAAGAAAAATGTGGAAAATACTTCATGTCAACTTAAAGAAAACGTCAAATCCCAGCGTTTTATTTGATGTTAGAAATCCCACAAGGACAGCAGCTCGGCCTTCTTGCTTACCAGGATTATCTGGTTGGTTGCAAAATGTGTTTGACCTTTTCATAAAAGTACTGTATCTGCCCAGGAAGCTTTTGGCCAGCAGTTGTTAGGGTCGTTGCCCTATTCTTCGTTATCATGATATAGTATGTTCCCTACTCCCACATACGTGTGCACCCAGCAAACACGTCACGTTCGGATCACGTGGCTAGCACGTTGCTACCACATTATGACGTCATAGCGACGGATTAACCACGTGGTACCAACATCACGTGTTTGCTGGACACCTTTAAGAATCTTTGCAACAAAAAATAAGTAAATAGAATGAAAAATGACCTAGATACCACAGAAGCTGAGACATTATATTGATAGTTATAAGACCACTTTAGGACGCTCACTTTATTCATTTTAATTAAACTATCATCTTTGATGATTCCTTCATTTCATAAGCCAGAGAAAACGCTTGATTTCTATTCCTGTTGGGAGCAATTAATCAGAAGAAGGCGAAGTAAACACTAGCTCAGGCAATAACTTATTACCGTTATAAATCATAGGAATAAAAGAAAGTGACTACTCTGCTTAACTCTAAGTGATATGTCACGAAAGTATCAGATTGTCATTGGTATTAAATCACATTCATATGATTAACAGACCACAAGTGCATTCTTAACGCTGTTAACGCATTCACCTCGGATCACCACGGTTAAATTGTTCTCCCCATAGGTTAGTGCAAGTCACATTAACACGCAAATAGCTTCATAGACTGCCTTGTCTTGCAGTTTGTCTGTGCCAGCGCTAGGTTGTTCTGTGTTCCTCAAATAACTTTATTCATCTTCATTCACGTTCTAACGCTCGGTTGCGCATGATTAGGTACAAGAACATATTGTCCAATTATTAACTGAGCGTTATGAATATAAATGCATTGTGTATGCGATTTACATCATTTACAAATGTTCTCTTAAACTGAAAGTTAAGCACGGGACGCAGGGGATATTAATCAAAAGAAATCAGACGCGCTAGAGTCAATAATTTTGTAAAAAGCCGCACGAATTGACAAATGACAAGTTTATTCAATCGAGAAACGGTAACCCCAGGAGGATAGGACGTAACCGGGGTTACCGAGCTTCAACTTCAGCTTGCCCTGCAGATAAGATTTACAACAGCTTTTACTTCATTTCACTGTTATAATGAATGCAATGTGACAAATATATGGTAAACACAACGAAAATAGTAAAGACTTACTTTTTATATAATAAAAAAGTGACAATGCATTCTGAGTAAAATTTGATAAGATTTAGGCAAAGTCCATTTGAGGGTACATGACCTCCTCAAAATGTGATACAGTGTGTGAAAGAATTCTACAAAAATCTCCAGCTGGAGTCCCGTGTAAATAATTGTTTGTTGTTCCCCACACCCGTTGGCATCATTTTGTAAGATTCGATTTTAGGTTCACAGATCGAGAAGAAGTGAGCAACAAGAGTCGTGGATTTCCAAACAGCTTTATTCCCACTACCTAACTTGTTCTCTCTACCCACCACCTGTTCTATTTATATCTACCTTAATGTCTCATTATAATAATACCTTATCATAAATCTTTCTAGGCGCGGGCGCCGCGACATCCTAGGGGCGTGGGACATGCGAAGGAGCGCCACCGCGTCCCTTACAATTTGATAGATTCAATGATGTTTCATCTCTCTTTCTCTCTCTCTCTCTCTCAGGACAACCATTCCTGTCACACCGACTAATCCTAACCTGTACTAATCTTGTGGGATCCCGGAATTCCATCCCTAAGACTACCATTTCTGTCACACCGGTAGTTGAAGCTCAACTGTCGGATTGAAGAAGTAAGGGATATAGGGGTGAAATACTCTCCCGGCAGCCCACGAAAAACGCCATCCAACACACTGGACGGAATCACTGGACATACTCACCCAGAGCCTTATAATTAGTTTTACAATATTATCAAGAATGTATTACCATATATATTACCAAGCAAGTGTGAGACATTAGCGTGCATTGCACCGTAAAATGCTTCCAAATTTTCAAGATAAAAGATTGTTTATTTTCATAATATGGACCTATAGTACAGAAAAAGATACTTAAGTAATAAAAATCAAATAAATGCGCATGCGTGTGTTTGTCCCATAGAGTATTTACTGTCTTCTAAAATTATTTTGAAAGTGCAGTTTTCGAAAGGAAATTTGGATGCGGACGAAAATATCTTGGCAGCCATTTGTCTCTTAATTCTATATAACAACATCTGAGCAGTAAAATTTAATGATACTTGATTTGATATTGTATGAGGAAAAATCAGTTTTTTTACAAGAATAAACCCGATGTTATAATGAGGCTGATAGATTGAAGGTTTACATTATAAGATAACGTCATGTTACAGAGTATCATGTTTTCATTTAAATCGTTCTGATTAGTCGGTTTTCATTTACCGATAAACAGTAGCTAGAGTTTGATTTAAGCAAAGCATGGCCAGTTAATCATTAGACCTCTCCTACTATGTTGTTTACGATGATCTCTGCAGCGCTACCCGCTCGTAAATCACCAACTTTCTTTAAGTCATTGTATGCAAATGAGGGAGTACTTTTATACAGTTAAAAAGTCCCCTGACATACAGGGGTATAATTACGATAAACGACAATTGAACTGCACAATCCCAGAGGGCAACTTGTATCTTTAATTTGCCAATTGCTTTTACCATTCTTGAAACTACCAGGGAGCGTTGGGAAATCTTTTCTGTGCATTATGGTATTTAAACCTCGGCGCAGTTCACCTTTGATGAATAAAAAGAACGTTAGCAGAGCTGAAGGTGCCGTCCTCCCTGATTTGACAAGGGCTTATCATTGGTTAATGTCATAATCGAACGTGGATGGCAATTCTGACACTTTTTTAAAGAAACTATTAATTGAATTATAATCTGACTTTGAGTAGTTAGCCTATGTAATTGGAAGATCACCCCAATATCATGTGACTCTCTGAGACCCCCCGCAACGCCTTTATTGGCAAAGGAGCCTTTTTAGTTTCTTGTGCGTATAGTCAAGATCATTCTAATAACTTACTGATAACAAGCATAATAATAAATAATAATATAATAATATTATAATATATCTAACTCGTATCGCCTTTTCATTTGAAAATAAACATTTTATGCACTTTCTTATTCATATCTTTAAGTATTAAATTTGAAAATGTATTTCTGGATTGCCGTAGATAATTACTGACTGGAAAACATGATTAAAATTAAAATTCTGCCTTGAATAATGTTTTAATCATACGCGGTTATACAGCTTAAAATACTAATCTGACAGCTGATCATTATGAAATGGTCGCTTATGTCTCGGTTAAAAAGCCACACTGTTCATATTTGCATGTCATGAAGAGTCCGTCATGCTTACAATTCTCTACATTTTACATGACAAATGACCTGTGACACTGACTTCTTCACAAACCTTGTTATTTTTCCCTAATACTGAATAATTACTTTAGTGGAATCGAGTAGATATGCGTTTCTATTAGTACTATAAAAACTATAAACTGCTCGCTGAATAATTCACTACATCTGATATCCAGTCATTTATCATTGTTATATGTCATTAATACCCTGTTTGTTTCCTGTTGTCCTTAGAGCGTAGGTCTTTGGTAATTTCATCAGACATTACGTGCAATAAGCATTACGCCTTATTAAAAAGACATGCAAGTCTTGAATAAAACACTCGTAATGTTTCATTAATCCTTGTTTTCATAGCTATCGACAATATGCCACGAACCTGGGGCGCCCAACCGAGGCTGCTGTCCCAAAAGTAAATTTTTCATATTGATTCACTCAAAGGGCAGACAAGCATGGAAAATTTGTTGCGCAATATGTCTTTTGCTTTATGCAGCAGAATAATTCTTCAAATAATGCAGGCGATAAAGAATAAGACGAACTGATGCCGGCTATTTGAAACAATGGTATATTAGCTACATGGTAGAAACTGACGAAGTGAGCTCATACAAACTCTTGCAGTTTAACCTTTTCTCTGGTTCAAATTGAAAGAGCCATTCATTCATTCAGTCATCTTTCTCTGAGCACTGTACCGTGTAGTTTTTTCCCGGCGACTTTCATATCAAATTACTGCGGCCATAATGGACTCAATCAATCGATATCTGGACAGACAAATTACTCCGCCCTTGCGTTGAACGTTTAACTCGTGGAAAATCCCTTTGATATGATGATAATTCTTCGCGAACTATTTCGGTAAAAGATATGATAACGGCCTTAGAATACACCCATAGTATTACACAGTAACGCTTCTGGTTTTCACACCGTTATCTGCACAAAAATTGTGTTCACCGTTTTCTTTACCGAAAATGATTTATAACAATATTAAAGCCTACTCAGCCAAAAAAATGGCGGTGATTCAATTATCTTTAAATCTCTTTATGTATTTATTTTTAAAAGCAAATATATTTTTCTTCTTTCATTATACGTAGTTAAATATTGACCAAAACTGTTTTAATTTCAAAAACGATAAATGGATTTATATTGTGATGTTTAGGTACATTTACCTCGATCAACACTGATTGATTCTAAAAAGACAGGTACAAACACCGGGAAGATTTATCTACAGTGTGTGTGTGTGTGTGTGTGTGTGTGTGTGTGGCGTTTTCATTCACAACTGACTATTGCATAATCTTTCACCCTAGAAACCGGGAATAGACATCTTGTTATCCGATTTGTAGGTTCGAATCTTAAGCAAGTGCCACACTGGATTACCTACGAGTTTCCACAATAATACTACTAAAGTCCACACATCTTACTTTAAATAACAAAATTTCAGTTTCAATGACCTAGCTAGAGAAAAAAGCTTGTAAAAGGTATCAGTACACATTACCGCTCTCCCCGGCCACCTCAGATCTTGAATGAATTTGGCTTTATTAAAAGTTTACCATACATGATTGAAAATGTCCGAGGACCCTGCAAAGCTATTATCTTTCCCAATTCAGACCTTAAAAACGATAAAAAAACTCAAATAAAATACCTGATGTCAATTTTTACTTTTGAAATGTCAAAAAGACATAGAAGTATAAATATCTGGCCAGACATTTAGAACTAATTATTTGATTGGAAATGGTATAAGGCATAGAATCCAGGTGCAAGAACAGGTGAACAGGAAAAAAATCCACATGGAAAATTCGATTTAAAGCAAAAATCCCAGACATTTTACCTTTAATCGAGCCTAAAATGTGTTACAATAGACTTACCTTGTAAGTAGCGTATCATAATACACATCACCTCCCCGAATATGAAATCCCGCAGCAGTGTGGGGATGATGGTGACTGGCATACAAAGGACAGCTAGGAGCAGGTCACTGATGGACAGGTTTAACAGGAACATATTGGTCACTGTTCTCATCCGCTTGTTCTGGACCAGGGTAGCAATGACCAGGCCGTTGCCAACGACGCTGAGTAGAAAGATTAGGGAGTAAAGCGGTATCAGGATCTCGCCGGGAATTTCGGAGGTTTCCGACCGAGTGAAGTTATAGGTTTCATTCCCGGTGTTGTCGGCGCCGTCCATCTCAACTGTCTGAGTGACCGCTCCGTCAGGAAAGCTGAAGTCAACTAAGCTGTTTAAGGCGGCCACATGACTGCCGCTATAATTCCACGCCAAGTCCATGCCGTACGCTGATGTATTTTCGATCTTTCCAAATTCCATAACAACAATGAGAGGAACGTTGAAAATCCGTACTTAGAACCTGTGACGCCGTGTTCCAATTAACCCGATGTTTTACTCAAAGGCCACGGGCAATGGCCGCAAGCTGTGTACTTGATTGTCCGATCTTTCCTCCTTTTTTCATTAAACGTTCTTTTCGTTACTTTCTTTTTCTCGTTAATCTACCACCACGTGTTTCTCATGTAAACTGTACACGTGTTTTACACAATTCTGCGTGTTGTGTCCGGTACGGTTGTTTACGCCATTAGCAGGTTCCTTCAATAATACTATCGATTTGGGAAATGTTTTTTTTTTTTATATATATATATATATCAGTATGCGAAGAAGTAATAATTGTCACAGTTGTGTCAGTCCTGCTTATTAAACTGCCAACACAACAATGTTTTGGTCTTTTTGACTTTGGCCGGTTCTGTCAGACGTGAACTGCGTTGCCTCACCAGGTTGATGCAACAGAAGGGAAGAAGCCAAGAAACGCAATTAAATTTGAATAATTGATAATAGGCTCGTGCCCGGCATTTATTTCCTTCCGTAGCTTGAGCGGGTAATGGATCCGTATTCATCGGTATTCAAATCACTGTTAAAAGTTGTTTCCCTGTCTTTTTAGATAAATGGCTTTATTCAGAAAAGCCAATTTGGTTCTTCCATTACCTTGTTCGTTTCTACATTTCCACTTACGACACTTTGGGTGTCGTCGCCTTAAGAAGTAATGAAAATGCTACGTGACTTTTTAAAGTGACTTACCGGTACTATTTTCTCAAGGAAAACTCCTCACTTCCTCTTCTTCTTCAACTTTAATTAAGTTGTCTATTCCGTTCTTTTTCTTGTTCCTTTTTTATATCTAACGCATAAAATCACACATTTACATTTAAAAAATGGCAACGTCCGTCCAAATTGACTTCAAAAATTATATCCAAGCGTGATATATATTTTTATTTCGGAATCAAAAACCAACGCAGTGAAGTCAAGTCAATAAACGGTATCTTCAGCGCTCTCAGGCCTCGTTATCTGCTAGTTAAGCGTCCGTCCCTTCAGTGAAGTAAATCCTTCTCCCTCTCAACTCAGTGGAGATATCAGCACGGCGATTTATAGCTTCTCGCAAATTGAGCTCGGGGTTTCGCTAATGATTATAAGCTAGAGTAAAGGTTTTTATATTTCCTGATGCATTACTCTCTTGTCTAGATTAGACGATTATCCTATCCAGCGTCTTCCCTAATAGATGCCGCTATACGTGAGCAGAACTGTTCTGCTAAGGAAATCCTGATCAATTCTTGCGTGGGTCGAGCTTTCGTTGTTCCCAGCGACTGCCAAGGTTACTTTAGGGAGCGGCAGCAGAGGCAGCAAACCTTCCCGACCAATGCGTTGTTCGGCAACGTTGATACAATTACAATTATGTAGGCAACGTGAAATACCTGTAAAGACAAACATAATGTCAATAGAGAGGTGTAATATAGTTGTTCAATGTTTTATAGCAATACATGTGGACCACTAGACAGTTCCGGCGAATTATTTCCTGCCACTGGTTCTGACGGCTGTACCGTAGAAATAAAATAGTCTGAAAAGGTAAATAATTTCCTTGACTGCTGAAAACTACGAAAAACTTTGAATGTAGATAATAGTAACTATATGTGATGTTCGCCTTTGAATACAGTACTTAAAACGCTTTTCATAGTGAATTTTTTCCTTGCAGTGCTTCTTGTTCATCACCACCCTGAGTAGTTTGTCGCGATATCGGAACTCTATTCTGACGTATTTCGCGCAGCAAGTTCACTTTTTCTTTACTTTTTTCCTCCAGATCTGTTTTCAAGCTAAAATGCATACTTTCATAAAACTGGTAACCGACGTTGCCGAGGCCCAAGACCCAACAAGAAGCCTTGAGTTTCGTTCAATTTTTTTATCGTTTTTGTCGGTTATGGAGAAGAAACCATCATAAAAATTGACAGATACTTTGGGTAGTCTGGTGCTCTTATCGTTCCTCTCAGTATCACAATTTCTCTTGTAGTCGTTAACCCGGTTCCTAACGATCATATGTTTCTCACGAGACCCTGGTGGTTGTTTTTACATCAACTCTTATTAAATGCTTAATATAGAATGTTCAGATTCTCGAGTTCTTATCGCTTTCTCCGATAAGCTTCGAGACTCACTTGATCCAGAGTAGTTACAAATATATACCTTCCCACAAAAAACTTGTAAGTTTTTTTTAGATAGTTTCTTTTTGTTCTTAATTGTTCCTCGACAGTTCTTGTAAAGCCTCAAGGGTAGAACTGATAGCGACAGTCGATACTTAGCCCTAGTCTAACCCATGTTAACCCTGCCGCACTGAGAGCGGCTTGGAACCTTTTGAACTTGGCGTTTATCTCTTTCATGCTCAGTGCGCTCTCTCGTGTGCCTTGTGAGGTTATGCATACGATGAACCCAGTCAGTCGTGAAGTCATTCAGAAATCTAAAGATAGGAACATTTTGGCTCGACGTCTACTTGTAGCAATCGTCAGTGACGAAGGGCGTTATTATAAGGGTTATGACTGTGGTTTATTCCAGACATTTCTGTCCTTTACCCCAGTAAGGACGCAATATGAAACCGTTTTCGTATCAAGCTGCGAATAAAAGGAAATTCATTCTAAGGTTATTATCATATCAATGCATACTGTCAGATATTAAAAACTTCCAAGGCTTTTCGAGTCAGTCGTGTTTATCATCCCTCACCCCCAAAATAATAATAACGCCATTTCATAAAAGGGAAGACTAATCAATAGGGGAAATAATGAAAGTCGGGCGCTTACAAGGAGTATGTGAACAAACGGGCTTAAGCGTTATTATTATTATTATTATTATTATTATTATTATTATTGTCTTCAATATCTATAGGTTTATTGGAGAGCAGGGAAGCTTTGCATCTAAAATGACGAATTTGAACGTATATTACCAAATTCTTGTTACTTTTGCTTGCATGACCGGTTTTGGTCAAGCAGCCAATCAAGTTCATCAGTGAGGCTGGACACGACTCTGTTTTTATTCCACGACTTCGACATCTACATGTAGTTGTTATCCATAATTCCTGTACTACTCTGCGTGGAATGAAGCCGGCTAGTTGACAGTTCACTTACTAATATCACGTCTAGCTGGCGATTAGCGTGAATATGGCACTGATGTTACAATGGTTTCTGTTGAGTTACATGTGATAATTCATAATAAGAATACGGATCTTTAGAATCTGCTACCCTGAATTGTCTGAAAAATGCGTTTCCTTCATTCAACTAATGACACCCGAAGGTAGAGATACGGACACACATAAAAAGTATAGGAACGGAAAACCAGCGACCTGAAAATAATGCGATATGCATTCGCCACATAAAAAAGTGAGCATCCTGTGAGCATTCCATCATAGGTTAAAAAAACATGAACATATCTTATATAATTTAGTAACATAAAAAATGTCTACAGATCTATCGAGTTCGTCTTTCAATGCACCTCTACCGGGACTTGTGTATTACGTTTCTTGTAAATCCCGAATCAATTTCCGTTATGGTTGTATTTATTGTAACATACGCACACTTACGTGTGATATTTATTAGTCGTTTATTGTTCGGGGATCGATGTTTTCAACTCACGGGGGAAAATTGTCGAGACCCGTGCTTTTAATGTATGTAGTTAACGCACCCATACCGGTAGGAGAAATTTCCTGGTTCTCTGTCGGATTTAACAGGGGCAGGGAAAGGGGCATGGATATTACAGAATACGAGGACTACACTACTGTATTATGTAGGGCACTTAAATGGAAAATTCCTTGATTCTGACTCTTTTCGCTTGTTTTACTCTTTCAGGGGAGGAATAAGGGAGCAGCTCCGAAATTAAAGTGGAGGGGGGGACTGTGCCCTCCTGGGACTGCCATTGTGATATGGGGACGACATCTAGACCCCATTCCCATAGATTTAAGATTGATCTATCCCTGTGGGGAGTCTCAATAGATTACTGTCAGCTAAGCCGGCTTCACCGTCTGTCCCGCCTACTAAAAGCTGTAAGGGGGTAAATAACTATGGTGCGCGCTCGGCTGACTGCAATTTAGCGTGAACCCCCAGGGAGTTAGGTCGATCCAAATCTTAATCTCTGGATCGATCTAAATCTCTGGGAATGCACCCCTAGATAGATAGATAGGCCTAAATTATTTCAACATGACCAGAAAGTAAAAAAAATTATTATAATATACCGTAGTTATTACATGTAAATGTGGTTATATCACAGCTGTAAATACGATCCAATCTCCAACAGGATAAACTCTAGCTGAATTTAATGGTGTTCCACTTATAATGGAGGGATGTGACCCTCTAAAGCGGTGATTGACCTGTACGTAGAACTGGTAGCGTTTAATATGAGTGACACGAGATTTGTAGCCAAGTGATTCGGACATAACAAAGAGGATTGCTCAAAATCCATTAACTTGATGCCCACAGTCATTGAATTGGAAATTGTAATTTATGGGTATTAGGCATATTGTAAACATAACATTTTATAGTCTTTTTCTTCTTTTTTTCTTTTTTGGATAACGGATAAGGTCAAATGGGCTTGGGTATGTTGCAGCATCAAAAGGTCGTACAATTATGCGAAAAAAATATTTAGATATTTCATTTTAAGATATTTTATCGCCAGTGCTACCTTTTGGGATGTTGCTTCAATGCAAATCTAACTAACTCGGCATTAGACACAGCATTTTTTTATCTTGTTGAAAATAAAGAAAGTATATAATGAAAGTATAAATTTAGATAATATCAAGAACAAAAGGTTGAATTACCTTTTAATCAAGCAAAGATGGCTAAATATCCGATCCGTATGGTGTTTTCATCAAGGATATGTTAATCCAGCCCACGTGGCGAAGAGACCTGTAGTCTAACGTCCTTTCTCCATGTTCACGTCTTTACAAAATTATCACAGTTTCAGTAAAGTCGTGTAAAGAACGACAGTCAGTGATGAATACCAACCTGCGTGAGTCGAATACTACTATATCTTTATGAAATATAACAATACACTCGAAACAGTCTACCATAAAGATCGAAGGGTTATCTAATATTTTCGAGTTGTGAATAAGTCATCAAATACATTGAATTACCGCGTCTAACGATTTAAAGAAAACACGTGCCTTTTGGCCAGTCGGTCATCCGGGTACTAAGATGAATTCCCGGCTGTAAGAAAGTATCAGGCAATTGGAACGATATCGAAATACAGTTCATTTGATTTGTGGGTACGAAA